TTTCCCTCTTTGTAGTCTTTTAAGATCACTCTGAAATGCTACAGACTAGTATCCAGAAAAAATAATGTCTGGATTGCAAAGTCCTTTCTCAACGCATATGCATTTCCCAACTTTTTAGTATTAAGATTTAACAACTGTTAACCCTTTGCTGTGTTTGCTCTACCTACCTACCTGTCATCTACATTTATTTTAGCAATTTGAAAATAAGTTGCAGACATCATGACACATCTATAAATTCTTCAACATACTCTGTCACTTAAAGTAGCTATTTTTAATAGTAATAATAACCTTCCAACACAGGAATCAGCATACTATGGCCTACAGACCAAGTCCAGCTAGCTGCCTGATTTTGTAAATAAGGTTTTAATGGAACACAGCCATGCTGATTCACTTACATAGTGTCTGTAGCTGCTTTTGTGCTACAACATTGCAGTTGAGCAGTTGCCACAGAAACCATATGACTCAAAAGGCCTAACATATTGTTTGGCACTCTTACAGAAAACGTTTGCCTATTCTTGCTCTAATAAAAACAAGTGTGAAAATATTTACAAAATCTTCATGAGCCAAAGGACTGACTGTCATTTTTGCATGGCAAGTGTTTCTTCCTCTAGAGTGTAGGCTTTGTGATGTGGTGAATGACTTCAGTTGTGGGCGGGTGGCTGTGATGGGGAGGTGGGAAGGCAGGAAGGGAACTAACATCCACTGCACACTTACTCTACAGAGGGCCCTATACTAGGGGCTTTATACACTATTACGCTCACTGTGATCCTCACAACAATACTGTTAGGTAGACAGCATTATTCTCATTTTATTGATGAAGAAACTGAGGCTTTCCCAAAGTCATGCAGGTATTAAAGAGAAAAACAAAGAACCTAAATCTGTCCTAAAGAGAAACAGTAGAATCAGTTAAGATTCCCTAGGAAGAATTCTCAAGCACTTTGTGGTCATGATTGGCATATAAAACGAGTGCTCTGGACTTCTCCAGCTTGTAGTACAAAATTCTATATGATTGCTGGGAGAAAGCAACTAAGATCTTTCTTTATAGTAAGGACGTAAATTAAAGATCAGAAACTTGGTATCATATAATGAAAAACACCTCAGAAAACTCATCTCTAGTGTTTAATTGTTCACTCTCTAAAATGGGGCTAATAATCCTGATTATTTTGGGGAAAGTGAATACCAAAAGCTTTGAAAGTATAGAGCTCAATATAAGAGTATAAGACCTCATTGTTTAGTTTTCTTTATCTAGGCAGGCATTCCTCAAAAGTAATTTGGCTATCTCATTCTTTAGTTCTCCATTTCTCAAATTTTAGTATTGATAAAAATTACCAAGACTGTTTATTACATTCAGATTCCAAGGCCCCAATGCAGAGATTTCTTCTACAGACCAGGAGTAAAATTCAAGAGAATTCTGAATCAGGCATCTGGGATCCATAAGTTGAGAAATACTGCTATAAGATACAATTGATGTTTCATAATACCTATTTAAAATAACCACTTTATTATTAAAAAGCTTTTCACATAACAATGCATACTATAAAATAATTAATGTAAAGCAATTCAAGCAGTACAGAAATATATAAAGTAAAAAGCAAATGTCCTTTCCTCATGACTTATCCTTCTCATCTTTCATTGAGAGAAAAGTTTGATAATTAGCTTTCCAGACTTGAATTTTCCATGGCAAAAACATATATACTGGTTAAGAATGACAACCATTTGATGTTGTTTCTTTTTTTACTGAAAAAATTATGTTCAAATATACTTGTTCACATGTCTTGGAGCAACTATGACTGTTTCTGTAGGATAGATTTCTAACAGTTGAGTTGCTGGACCAAAAGATTCAAATAGTACAGAAGGAATAAAATAAAGTGAACCCCCACCTCCTTCCAACCTTCAATCCAACCTTCAGTCCCACTCCTGAAACTGCTGTGATTTTGTGTGTCCCTCTACAAAATGCTTATGCGGGTAGGTTCATTTTGTTTGACTACATTGACCGTCTGTCCTTAATGAGTGCCTATCCTCCCAACCTATTTTATATCTAACTTTCATCTTTTTGGTGACAATTTTAGTGCCTTCATTGTTTTCAGGCCCATTAGAAATGGAATGCACCCTGGCTGGTGTGGCTCAGTGGACTGAGCTCCAGTTTGCAAAGCAAATGGTTGCCAGTTCGAGTCCCAGTGTAGGGCACATGCCTGGGTTGTGGGCCAGGTCCCCAGCAGGGGGCGCACAAAATGCAACCACACATTTGATGTTTCCCTCTCTTCCTCCCTTCTCTCTAAAAATAAATAAGTAAAATCTTAAAAAAAAAAGAAAAAAGAAATGGAATCATTGATTAGCATGCTGCTTCTACTAATGCTGAGAACTTTGGGATTGTCTCCACGGGCCCTTCAATCATGGATAAAGAATCTCCAGGAATTTAAATAAATTTCTGGGAAAATACTAGCCTCTGAAATAAAATTTCAAACATAAAGTGATTTCTTAAAATTCTACTCTAAGGCAAGCTTAAGTAATTATAACATTTAAATCTGTTCTCCTTTTTCTCATCATTCCCTCCCCATGAGTGCCATGTTCCAGCCAAACTGCAACAGCCACTCTCTCTGATGCTTTCAGTTCTGCTTTGCTCTTCTCCAACTAGAGTGCATCCCCCTTTGACTTCAGTTAACCTTACAGAGGACCTGACTTCAAATCACAGCCCTTATCTGTGTTAACCTTTACTAAATTATTGAACCATTTTTCTCTTTAGTTTTATCCTCTGTAAAATAAGGATAATAATGTCTATGAGGTCATTGCAACCATTAGTTAAGAGGTATAAAATGCACATTAAAGTCTATATATTATTCTTAGTGTTACTCTCCTGTGACGGCCCAGCTAGATGGCAGGTTCTCTAAGGACAGGTACCATTTCTTTGTATATTTGTAGTGCCTAGAGTGTTGAATTTATCAGATGTATTTGTTAAATTGAATAAACACATTATGCTATTTGTGTATGTCTTTCTTCAGGCATAGACGCAAGGTTTCTGAGGGCGTATTATATGACCAAGGCCTAATACAGGATCTGGTACATGGTAGACTATGCAAAGTCTGTAACCATTTCGTACTTCTATGTAACAGTTATTTATTTAGACTAAGTATCTTTTTATAGGTCTTGTCTTCTCAACATGTCTGTTCTTTCCATGTCAAGTGCCTAAGAAGCATGCTTGATGATAACAGGGAAAAATGTTTAATCTAAACATTTCCAAACTGTACCTGCAATGAATTGTAATGTAAAGTGCTGTTAGGTAGATAATTCCATTTTTATAATAGGATTTCAACCAGGAATGAAATACTGACGTGGGTCAAAAAAGAGCCCAGGATTAAAAGAAGGGGTGGGTGTTTTAGCTTTCACTCTAGGTAGCAGCATCACAAATTCTTCAAATTTAAATCAGTAAAATTAATAAAAAACAAAAACAGAGCTTAATGTTTAGAATTAGATTAATAGAGGAGGATTAATATCATCAGGATTTGCACAATGTTAAGCAATTTATGTCTAAATGTTAAAGCAAGTAGTAGGATAACCTACCTCTACTTGGTTGATTAATTTCAAGTCAAAGTGGGACATATATTTGAATAAACTTTGTGAGGTGACCAACAGTACAGACCAGGGTATGGGAATTGGCCCTAGCTCCGATAATACATTAGATATGGAAACTTGAGAATAAAAACATTACTTCCAGGACTTTTTGCGACTGCTAAAATAATAATGTGAATGGTTGTTGACGTAAGAACATCCAAACATATAGAGGATTTTTATGAGTTTATTTCAGCCAAACTAACGGCATATTCAGGGAGCAAGATTTCAAATGTTCGGGAGAGTAAGTTTTGCAGCTTCTTTCATGCATTTAAAATCCAGGGGCCCTGGCAAGTAGCTCAGTTGGTTAGAGCATGGTGGTCCCAACGCACCACGGTTGTGGTATACAGATCCCCAGTGAGGGCACATACAAGAATCAACCAATGAATGCATAAATAAGTGGAACAACAAACTGATGTTTCTCTCTCCCTTCCTCTCTCTCTCTAAAATCAATAAATGAAATTGAGTAGGGGACATTAAGGGAAGATTGGAAAAATCAAAGCGTAGATTGGATTACAATATAGTTAACAAAGATGTGTTAATCTAGACGCACAAGATTAATGGACAGGGCTGGCTTAAAACTTTTCACTAAAGAATTTATAGACCTGGACCATGACTACCGGTCATGATCTGCCCAGTTAGTAATTTATGATCAGAGCACTCTGTGAGGTTACTTTCCATAGAACCCATTTTTTCCTCCACACGGTGCTCCTGGCACAGTTCAGTTAGCCTTTTGGTTCCTACTCCTCCTGACCTTCATAGTACCATGACCCCCGAAATAACTCACCTACCGGGCTGGTTTTACTTATGATTTGTAACTGGACGTTTATATCAAGGTCCAAGTTCTCGACAAAAAAAGATGTTTTAGGCCTGTTTATCGTTCTCTCTGTGCAAATTCGGCTTACAAGTTGACACTAACACAGCCAAAAAAAAGAGGTCAGTATGGGGAAGCCAGCGCGGGACGCCACAGTTCTCCGAGGAATCGGCCACTTGAGCGAGGGCAGGGGACTTGGACGCTGCTGCTCCAGCCCCGGAGAACTGACCGCGGAGAAGAGAGCCGGCGATGTGGCGCTCTGTTGTCCTCCCGGTCTCTCCAAGCGCCCAGGTTTGGAAGAGAGATGAGCCCAGCAGCGCGAAGACCTTGGTCTAACCACCTCCGCCTCTTCACATCATTCCTCCCGCTTCACCTTCAGGCGGCTTCTCTAAATACCAACCAGCTCGACTGTTTTCAGCCCTCAGTCTGCAGCTACAAGCATGGGCAACCTCGCGTCCAGAGGCCTGAAGCTTGCAGCACTGCTAAGCTTACAGCGCCACCGCCAGGGTAACTAGCGGTACCTATAGCAACTGGCGGCGGTCCTCCTCTTCTTGCCCTGCCTCTTCCGCTTGCGATTTGCTTTCGCTTCCGGTCTCCAGAATCCAACTTGAGCCGCAAAAAGCTTTGCATTGTGGGAACTCCTTCCTTTCTGGTTCCCCGGCCATTTTGGCAGCTGCGCTTGGTGAGTGGCCTCTACCGGGTCGAGCTTTAGGCCGCGACGGGAGCCCGGCGGGTTACCGTTTGGACCTCTGGGTCCTAAACTTACTGTCCTGTGCTCCGTATGTTCTAGGTAGGGGTCCGTCCCGCACCTAAGGCAGGAAGATGGTGGCCGCAAAGAAGACGGTGAGTGAAGCGGGCCGGAGCAGGCAGCAGATTCACGTGGAGAGATGAGTCTTCGGCGGGGCGGGCAGATCTGAGCACACTGGGGAGACAGCATGCCCACGGGCATTTGGAAGGTCCCAAAAGAAACCCGAGAGGGTCTCTTAATTATCTGGGACCCTCGATTTCGGAGGTTTCATTAGTCTCGGCTTCCAGAAGCTGGGTCCAGGTTTGAGGTCCTTACAAACAAGGCCTTCAGATACATATTGTATGTTTGCTTTGTAGAAAAAGTCGCTGGAGTCGATCAACTCTAGGCTCCAACTTGTTATGAAAAGTGGCAAATACGTGCTGGGGTACAAGCAGACGCAGAAGATGATCAGACAAGGCAAAGCCAAACTGGTCATCCTCGCCAACAACTGTCCAGCCCTGAGGTAATGGGAAGAACCTGAAGCGTGTGTAGTCCGCTGCGAGCGCATATGTAGGGGATAAACTTGCTATATGGGTAGCATGGACTCGATTTTATGAGATTTGCTTTACCAAGTGAACACTCGAAGAATGACTTACGGTTGCTATTGCGGTACTTGGTTCTTGATTCCCACCCTCACCTCCCGACCTGTTTTCTCCTTGTGTAAGCTTATCTTACGGTAGAAATGCGGCAGAAGGGGTAAAATCCAGTGTCAGAAGATTGAGGGAAGCCCCTACGTGTAATTTGTTTTTACGTATCTTTATTGCCATGCCTTTGGTCGTTCTTTTAGCTTTGAGATACTTTACAAAGTGCTTCATTGCGTGAACTTCAGTGTAGAAAAGCTCAATGAGGTGTCACCTAGTTCATCTTACTCTGCCAGTTCTCTCAGCCAAAGTTTTGGCATGATTGTGTTAAAATTGGACTTAGTGGGTATTGTAAATAAGTTAAAGAAACTCGCGCCTTGCAGAATGTAAGCCACAGTCAGCCCGCTACCCGCATAGATTTTCTGTGATAATACATAACCGCAGAGCATTTTGTAGGGTGTCAGTACTTCCGCAGTACCCTCTCCCATCCCATCCCATCCCATCCCATAGTTTGGTGTTATTTCAAACTGTCCTTTCAAACCTACTGTCTGTAGCCGTGCACACATGTGAGTGTGCCCACAGTCATATGAGTGAAATGCGGATTCTGATTTGGGGTCTGGAATGGGGCCTGAGATGATGCATTTCTAACAAGCACCTTGTACGACATTACCCCTGGTCTGTGGCTCCACACTTCGAGTAGAAGCAAAGTACTGTTAGGACTCCCTTCAAATTTGTGAATCCACTAATGTCTGTCTACTCAGTAGATACAAAGGTTAACTCTGGGTAACATCACTTCCGATCTAGGATTTAGCATCTGAGGGTGATAGGAATGAACCATCTTTTAGAGGAAACACGGATTTGCATTATGAATCCTCCACTTACTATTCTGTGCCTCAGTTTCTTCATCAGTTTAAAAATAAATGGAGTACCAAAAAAATGAGTGGTTGTTACAGGAACTTACATGTAAAGTGTCTGGCATGAAGTAAATAATGCTTTGATTTTGCACCTTACCCTCTTCTCCATGAGCATAGATCCTGTCTTAATTGGAGGTATTCGATATTGGTATTTTTCTGGGTGTCTCATCTCTTGTAAGGAATCCAAAGAAAGATGGTTTGTATTGATTAATGGATATGATAATAGGTTCTTAAGAGTAATTACGGGCTTAATTACTGTTGGAAAACCTCACCAACATTAAACCTAATGAGAGAAGTAGTAAATCTTAATCTGTCAGTCACTTCGTATGGCATTTATTTGCCTTTCTTTGATTCCCAAAGGAAATCTGAAATAGAGTACTATGCCATGTTGGCCAAGACTGGTGTCCATCACTACTGTGGCAATAATATTGAATTGGGCACAGCGTGTGGAAAATACTACAGAGTATGCACACTGGCTATCATTGATCCAGGTATGCTTTGTAAATCATATTTTTTCCTTTATAATGTAATACAAGCATTTGCTATACAAATGTTTTTGGTTCTTGAGTTGAGATGGTGAGAATTTGGATATAGTAAGGGGTATCCTGTAGTTTTATTTCATGGAGAATTGATAATGTCACTGTATTGGCTTTGTTATAAGTGAGGTTTTTTTTAAACTTTGAGATCATGAATTTCATTTGATCTCAAAGACTTAATACCTTGAAAAGATGAAATTATAAAAGGGGAGAATAATCAGGTGAATTGGAGGAAAGTAATCCTTACTGACTGCTTGAACAGAGGTACAATTGGTTGACAGAAGTTGACTCTTGAACAATACAGGCTTGAACTGCATGGGTCCCTTATATACAGATTTTTTTCAGTGGGTTTCACATCAGTGGATTCACCAACTACAGGCCAAAGACAGTATTTTCAATCCATGGTTGGGAATCTGTGTGTACAGAATGCCAACTTAAATTATATACAAGTCAGTTCCCCTGATTCCTCGGTTGTTCAAGGATCAGCTGTACACATCATGTTGTTTTTGAACTTAAGAATTTTTAATTTATTCATAAAATACTGCGAATATTCTCGCTGTTCTGATTTTGTAATAATCAGGGCAGGCTAACCATTCGCTATATTAAAAAACCATGCATGTGTCCCCAGACCTAGTTCTTTCCCTAAGTCTGGTTTTATAAATGCTGGTGATAAAAAGTCTGATTTATATTATGCATCTTCGCGGGGAAATGTCTGACTCTACGAGACTTTGATTAGCCCCAGGAAATGACAACACAGCGAGCACAGTAACTTGAAGATAAGCACTGCTAATGGCATGGTGACCAGTTGCCAAAATGAATTGTAAAATAATTACTGTTTTATTTTTCAGGTGATTCTGACATCATCAGAAGCATGCCAGAACAGACTGGTGAAAAGTAAAGCAGGCACAATTTTTCTTTAATAAAACCAGCCAAAATTGGGTTTAAACACTGCATTCATGTCCATTATTTTTGTGTCTTTTTGTTTCAGTACTTTCCTGAAGATAGGGTTAGAGAGGATGAGGCAGCTGGATGTGGTGGCAAGACTTTGGGTTAAGAGACACAAGTTCCAGTCTCCACTTTTCCTAAAGGGAGCACCTTGAATTCCTTCCAGTTTTAGGACATAGTTGGCGTTTTGTATTTGAACGTATTTGAGAGGCAGCAAGGTTCAAAACCCAAAATTTAACCAGAACTGCAATTTATAGTCCAGCTTAAATCTACCAAATCTGAGTAGCAAAGAAAAGTAAGTAAAATATGCTAATATTCCCCTACCCCAAACTTGGCCACTGCATGTTACATCTCCCAGGCATGTCCCACAGGACCCTTTTCCCACATTTATTAATATCCCTTGGGAAAAAACATTCAGAGGAATTAATTTGGGGTGGGGGGATACTGGTTTACATCCATCTTGAATGACAGAGTGGAATGGTGCTGGCAGGGTATACCCTACACAGTCTGCTTGGGCTCTGAGGGAGGTTGCGGAAGTGTCAGAAATGACCATCTTTTGGACTTTAGAATCAATCAGCTTGGTCAGGAAGTTTTTGGTAGACTAGTGAAGACAGGAGATGAGGATGCTTTCAATATGTTATCTAGAAAGTGAAGTATTTGATGAACTTGGAGTCAAAAGATGCCCTTTTTAATATTGTACAACAACTGTGGTTGCATCAAATTCCCAGTTTCACAAGTGAGGGAATTGGTCTTTTTTAGGATAACATTACATGATTTTGGCTTACCTTCGACGTTGATGGGTATAATTAAATTTATGGATGTAATTTGGAAAATACCTGTTATGAACTAGAGTCACTGGTTGTTCAGTTAACTCAGTATTTCTCAAATTGGGAGCATTGCTGACATTTTTCAATGGGACAGTTCTTTGTGGTGGAGGGCTGTGTGTACTTTTCTTTCCATGTCATTGTAACAGTCAACACCTTCAGATGTCACCCCATAATTTAAAAGCATCTCTTGGTTGAGAGTCACAGAATTACATGAAAAATTGTAAATATCCCGAGGTGCTCATGTTTGCATGTCTAAAAACTAGTGTGCCCACGGTGGGGTAAAATGTTTGAAATCTGTCCCTGGTAAGAATTACTTGGTCAGACTACTGCTGATCGAATGTTAATTAGTCTGTTTCTGTGGTTCAAAGTGTTTCAGTCCTTTAGTTAAGGCAGTTTATGTGCTTGTTTTCTACCTACTTGGTCCATTTCTCCTTCAGATTGACCTTTAAGCCAGCTGGGTTATCTGTCCCTCCAGGCTGACCGTCGTCAAGGGAAGGGGGGGAGAAAGGGAGAGGAACATCGATGTGAGCAACATTGAGGGGTTGCCTCTGGCACACGCGCCCGCTGGGGGCCAAGCCGGCAGCACGGGCATGGCACCCCCCCAGCTGAGCCACCTCTGTCAGGGCTGCCTGTGCTCTTTCGTGCTCTCACCATCGTTTCAACACGAAATTTAAAGTTTAGAGAAAGGGAATTTCAAGCAGAAAATTGCTCATTTGGGTCTGAGGCTGCTGTGATGAGATGCCATTCAATTGCTGCCATAATTTAAAAATGCCAAATCAGGGACTGTCTAAGGTGATATTTTTAAATGTTCTCTTCTGATTACAATGAGTATAATGGGTTTGGCTGGAAAGTTCTGTATCCTGTAGGGGCTGCAGGAAGTACCAACCGATTGGATTTAATCCATACGTATGCTGAGAGAGAGGAAAGTCCCAAAGAAGAGTTTGGATATTGTACAGTGTCAGTTGCAATCCATGTGGTTGGTATGGTAGCAAGAGCAAACGGTACATAAAAAAGAAACCAAACTTTAGGCCGATTGTGAATGTAGCTAGTTGGACTTTATGGAAGATGGTCATCTGGTTCATGGAAGACAGCTCTCTGATACTCTCTTGCAATTCTTACTTCCAGCTTGGACTTCCTGCTCCCTCTGCTTGCAGGGGCATCTGGTTTCCTTCCCCTGTCTGCTCTTGCAGGTCACCCCAGCAGCATCCTCCAGTCTAGACTGGGTGCCTCTGAGTTACCATAAAGCCTTTTTTTATGGGCTTAATCCCATCTCTCATTAAACTAGGTTCCAGAGGACAGTGACTTAACATTTTCAAGTTTATATCAGTTATTAATGTGTCTGGCACATAATAAAAATTCAAAAACCAGAATGAATAATGACTTTTAGGGCTTAAACCTTTCTCATAGATACGCTTGTGGCTTTCTAGTTCAGAATTGTAATCTTCACCAATAGTAGGTCTTGAACATCTTGTACACCAACCATTACTTAATGTACTACCTTCTACCCTTTTGCTTCAAAAGCAAATTTAGGAGTGAAAATCCTAAAGTGAAATGTGAGCACTTGCATCACGTAAGGTAAAAAATTGATTCATTCAACATACACTTCTGTGGCAGCATCTTTGTGTCAGATGATCTTGGCTGCTGAATAAAAATAATAGCTAATGTTGAGCCATTAAAATGTGTTAGACTTGACTAAGTAGTGTACCTGTTAACCCATTTAATCCTTTTAACAATCTGATGAGATGATGCTTTTCTATTTGACAGAACCAAGGCTTGGAAAGGTCACAATGAAACGAATGCAAAACCACATGATACAGATAGCAAAACGAGGAAAATGGAGAAATAAATTTCCAATTTTAGACAATCTTCAAGTTAAATATCATGACTTAATCTAAATTTGATGGATTGGTTGGAGGCCTTTGTTTCCTTGAAGACATTTTCCTCATCAAGTTGGAGGAGAAAGTTGAAAACCCTCTAGTGAAATGTGTAGAATAGTGTAAAAAAACAGGAGTGGAGGCAGCCTAGAGCCACTAGAGGGAGCCAGGACTCAACAGAAAGTGAAGTAGAATTGAGCCAATTGCATCTCAAAAGGTAGTGCCAGCCCAAATCAATGCTTAACTTCCTAATGAAAATATGTTTTTGGGATCAAATGGATGACTTACATATAAATATAAACTGAGGGTTTAATACTTTGAATCACAACTTTTAGACTTCGAAAGAATCATTTTTAAGTACAATTGAGGCCTAGGTGTTCTCCCCACTGGACCACACTGCCCTCTGGGAGGACATTGTGATGGGAACACTGGTCTTCAAATATTTAATCATAAAGTTCATTCGAGGCACTTTGTTTGAAAGGCATCATTTGGCCTCCAAAACCTATGGAAAGATACCACTTGGGTGTCTTCATTTCATAATGAAGCTGCCACCTGTGGGTGTTTTCCTGGGGCTCTACGTGCCTTGACCTGATACACCCTCAGTCTCCTTTGACCCTGTCCCTCCTCCCACTTCTTGAATTTTCCAGGGACAACCGCTAGTGTGTACGTGCTTCCAGAACATTTCTTACACTTCGATGAACGTATTTATGTACCTGAACAAACAATAATACTTGTGGGCATTTTAAATTTACGGAAATATTAGTATGCTAAACATACTTTACTGTTGGCTTTTTAATTTCAGCTTTGTTTCTTGGTTTAACCATGTATATATGTAGATTTAGTGTATTCCTTTTAAGTGCTGTGTCTTATTTCTAAGGTATGGACTATGCCACAATTCATCAGTTACCCTTTTTAGATCAGGTTATTTCTAATTTGTGAACTTTCGTAAACTCCAGCAACATTCTTGTATAGGTCTCATACCTGCTAAAAGGCAGCGGCTAGAGTACAGGGTTGTGCACATTTTGTTCTACTGGATATTGACATTCTCTAAAGAGACTGCCCATAGCATTCTCATCAGCAGTGTGCAAGAGCCCCGGATTTCCACATCCTCACCAACACATGTTATAGTCACACATGCTCATTTTTGCCAAGCTGTTGTTTTAACCTGTATTTTCCTGATTACCAGTGAGAGTCAACATTTTTTCATATACATATTGGCCATATCTGACATTTCTAATATTCCTTGCATTTAAACTAAGAATTTTACACAGAATACACAATTCTCTGAAGTGAACTTTAATATTGTACTAAAATACCCAACTTGTACATGTCCTATGATTTTATGCATACATCCATATACATATATCAAGGTAAAGTCCAATACAAAAAAATAGCTTTTCCTATGGCCAGTGTTCTACAGGAGTAAGACCGTGCAAACTGTACTTCGTAGCCAAATGAGATTGCAACGCTCTAAGGCAGGACAAAGCAAAAGCAAATCATGTCCACAGTCTGTTACAGAGTATCTTGCATAGCTTATTCTGACTTGATAAACGCATTTTAAGATTCTGAGGGATTCTTTTTCTCATTACATTTATACAAGTTAGTGTCTGCTTTCTACCTTCGTTCTATGGCAAACCAGCTTTCTTAGCTCTTTACAACCTTACAGAATTGACTGTAGCCTGAGCTATACGCCTCAGAATTGCTTTCATTGTAATCCTTGATATAATGACATACCAACAGTTATTTCAAGTCTTCATCTGTATCTCAGGCGATTTTCCAGGGCTTCCATTCTCTGTGTCATTTCTTCTAGTAAATTTCAAATTAAGGAAAAGGAATCTGAATGGCCTATTTTTATTTATACAAAAATATAACAATTTACCTAAATAAAAATTTGTCCTAAAAAAAAATTAAGGCTTTTTGTTCCATTTCTGTGAAGTATTTTAAAACCTTGACTTCTAAGTTTATAGTAACACATGCTACCAAGACTATAAATCTTTTGCGGGGGGGGGGGGGGTTAAACATCAAAGTGGGATAGTTTGGCTCAAATTCTTTTTAATTTTGAATTCTCATCACACCTCTGTTGCTTATAAACTAGTTTGCCATCGCACACCTCCAGGAGCCAGTTGATAATGTTGGTAATGTGGTGAAGAGAAAAAAAACAAGGATTAGGCCTTGACAGGGAGCTAGGCATCTGGAGAGAGGAGGAATTTTCACTTGTCGTGCCAGATGCGGCCAAAGCATAGCGACCTTGAAGACTGCAGACCGATGCTCTTTCATATGTAACTTCTGTAGCCACGTAGGAAGTGGACCCTCAGAGTTGAGGTGGGAAAAGGAAGAGGAGAGGAACATTCAGACGAGCATCAGTCTTCCTCCCTGTAAGCTCCTGAGCACCTTGCACCTGCCCCATCGGTGACAGAATGAGAGCCTAGATTCACCATCTGCATTAATCACTGGCAGATTATTAGGGGACCATGTTTTCAGCTTTCAGAAAGGGAATTGCTCTATGCTCTTCCTTATTATATAAACCCATTGGCACAGAGAATAGCTCTGGCACAGAGAATAGCCCTGAAGTAAGCCATTTCCCTATTGACTAGTTGGTGCATGTTTAGATAGGTATCAGCGACCTTGAGGAAACTGATTTTAAGTTCAGAGCAGTTGGCAGGCTGTTCAGTGTGTAAAAGCACTAAGTCCCCATTTCTCTATTACTTTAAAGCATTCCTTTTATTTGTAATATTGTTTTAATGAATCATTGGATCCTGCTGTACCCTTGGTGGAATGTTTCATCTTAGAGTGCTGATATAAAAGATCTTTCCTGCCAAAAATAAAAGAAAAAAAAAGACAAAAAAGAAAAAAAGAAAAAAGAAACGCAACCCACCTCAGTCCTCTAGAAACTAAACAGTGACCAAATGTGGCTACAGTGTGGGTTAGGGCCAAAGGAAACACCTGGAGTTTAGGTGGGGTTCAAGACCTTTTCATTCTAATAGGGGTGTCCAACCTTTTGGTGTCTCTGGGCCACACTGGAAGAAGAGTTGTCTGGGGCCACACATTAAATACATCGTGATCACAAAAATAATCTCACAATGTTTTGAGTTAATTTACGATGTTGTGTTGGGCTGCATTCATAGCTATCCTGAGCCGCGTGCAGCCCGCGGGCCGTAGGTTGGACACCCCTGTCTCTTTGCTTCTAACACTGTACCTTGGGTATACTTCAGATCAGTACATATCCTCCATTTTCTCCTAGTTGGGGTTGGGAGGGGGGAGATTAATTAAATACACCTGTTTCTTTCATTTGCATGCTGCCTGGCCTTACTGCTAAACCCTCTAGAACAGCAAATAGCAACTAAATGCTTGACCCTTGCCACTAAGCTTGCTTGTCCTTGGCTCTCAAACACCTAACAGGTTGCTTAAGAAAAAAAGGCTTTCCTGGAGTTCTCTATTCTTGACTTTATGGAAATGACTTCATTTGGTCTATACCCACATATGGGATTTGTGATGTTTTGATAATATTCTTTGCATTCCATACAGAAGCACAATACAAGCAAAGGATATAGCGTTGTGTTAATTTTCTTACTTCTTCATTTGCAAGGTTCTGGAACATGATAAGGTTTTCACATTTGCATTGCTCAGGTTTTTCTTCCAAAGAACTTCCTGAGAAAGCAGATGGAAAGTGTTCACCTCTGTAAACCCACTAGATTTCCCAGACGCATAACAATAGGGCTGATTCAGCACATGCAGGAAACCATAATGAAAGAAATGTTCAACTTTCTCCACAAGCCAGATCCAGGAAATCCCAGGAATGGGCTTCCAACACTGAAGTGACTTCTATTGTGGATTCGGGGAAGAGCAAGACAGGTTTTTTTTAGATTTTTAGTTCTTATTTTACTTAAGTTCTTTACCCCGTCCTATTTCCTATTTCCTCCTGTCCTCTCATCTTTTAAACAGTTTGTTAGCAAGCTGACAGGCTGGTATCAAGTTAACCTATAGTAATATTTCACTGGAAATTACCTGAAGATTTTGTGGAATGGAACAGTTTTTGTGTAGACCGTGAAAGACTGTCTTCTTCAAACAGATATCTGTGTTGCACTGCAAAATTAGAACAGGAAAGTAGGTCTTGGATATTTATGGTGACTGGCTCAGATTCTGTAAAGAGAAGGAAAATTGAAGTCAAACCTGCTTAACATGGCTGTGGTATAAAAAAGCTCAGCTGTCAGAGCAAGACACTTGGTAATCCTAGCATGTGGTATGCAGCTTTGGGACATACTGTGGCAATAAGAATTGGCAGAGACACTATTACCAAACATGGCTAAGGTGTGGAGTAATTGTTTCTTATCTCATTGAGGGGGGAAAAGCCATACTTAACATAATTCAAATCTTACTTTCATTTCATTTTTAAATCATTTTTATTTTTTAATTACTACAGTTGATGTACATTATTATATTAGTTTTAGGTGTACACCCCAGTGATTAGGCATTACATAACTTACTGAGTGATCATCCCAATAAATCTCACATCCATCTGACACCATACAAGGTAATAGAATATTATTGACTATATTCCCTATGCTGTACTTTACATCCCCATGACTATTCTGTAACAACCAATTTGAATTTCTTAGTCCCTTCACCTTTTTCACATGTTTTTCCAACCTCCTCCCACCTGGCAACCATCACAATGTTCTCTGTATCTATGAGCTTGTTTTGTTCTGCCTTTTTTTTGGTTTGTTTTTTAGATTCAGTTGTTGATATGTATTTCTTGTCATTTTACTGTTAATATTTTTTATCTTTTTTTCTTCTTTTTAAAGAAGACCCTTTAACATTTTACATCTGGTTTGGTGGCGATGAACTCCTTTAGCTTTTTCTTGTCTGGGAAGGTCTTTATCTGTCCTTGAATTCTAAATGATTGCTGGGTAATCTTGGTTGTAGGTACTTGCTTTTCATCACATTAAATATTTCTTGCCAATCCCTTCTGATCTGCCAAGTTTCTATTGAGGAATCAGCTGATAATCTTACAGGGGCACCCTTGTAGGTAACTAACTGCTTTTCTCTTGATGCTTTTAAGATTCTCTCTTTGTCTTTAAAATTTGGCATGACCTCTTTGGGTTCATCTTGTTTGGGATTCTCTGTGCTTCCTGGATTTATATGTCTATTTTCTTCACCAGGTTAAGGAAGTTTTTTGTCATTATTTTTTTCAAATAGGTTTTCAGTTTTTTTGCCCTCTCCCTTAATTTTTTTGGATTCTTTTTTCTTTAGCTGTTCTGACTGGTGGTTTCATTTTGTTTGTTTGCTTTTGCTTCCTTATATTCCAAATCACTGATTTGATTCTCGGCTTTATCTACTCTACTGTTGATTCCCTGTAAATTATTCTTCATTTCAGCTAGTGTATACTTCATTTCTGACTGGGCCTTTTTTATGCACTGAGATTCTCACTAAGCTCATTGAGCGTCCTTATAACCAGTGTTTCGAACTTTGCATCTAATAGATTGCTTGTCTCCATTTTGTTTAGTTCTTTCTCTGGAGTTTTGTTCTATTCTTCCTTTTAGGACATGTTTCTTTGCCTCCTCATGTTGGCAGCCTCCCTGTGTTTGTTTCTATGTATTAGGTAGAGCTGCTATGTCTCCTGGCCTTGGCAGAATGACCTAATGTAGTCATTATCCTATAGGGTCCAGCAGCACCGCCTCCCCAATCACCTAAGCTGGGCACTTGAGGCGAGACCCCCGTGTGGGCTGTGGATATCCTCCTGTTGGAGCTGAGGCTTGATTGCTGTTGGTACACCAGTGGGAGGGATTTATCACCAGGCCAAGGAGCTGCAAGGACTGGCTGTCACCACTGACCACTCACCACTAACAACCGTGGAAGATCAGCTGTGCAGGGCCCAACCCACAGACCAGGACTTATTTCAGCAGGCCTCTTATTTCTCTTACTTTCATTTCTTTACAACTTTTATCTGGGGGGAAACCATGGCAGAAACATCCACCAAAGTTTCTAAAAACACTGCTTTTAAAAATTTACCTGTCGGCTGGTGAACCCTCTTTGGCAATTCCCCGGCTGGGGAGTCCTGACTTCCATCAGAGTCTTCCAGAGCTGAGAGGAGAAAGATGACCAAAAGGAGTGATAGTTGTCTGCTTGTGCACGGGTGTTCTTTAGGAAACTGATCCCTGACTAATTCCTTGGCTACCTGCCCTAACACAGGGTATTTTGGTATTATTTGGTAACACCACAAATTCAAAAAGAAATTGGTTATCTGGAAAATCCAAGACCACTCTAGGGCAGTTCTCTCTAGTGAGGGAAGCCTGGACCCCTTAAGTGTATCTTACTTAAGAATGCCCCCAAAATATCATGTCTAGAAGGTGAGATGGAAAAAGAGTTAAAGTTGTCCAAGGAGTAAGTTGCCGTGGCAAAAGCTCCACTTGAGGCATTTCAACTTGAGTGAAACAGCCTAGAGGGAAAACATTATCTTCCCACATTAGAAACAGGAAAGGCCTTCCTTCCCTGTTCTCCCTTCCTCGCATTGTTTTTTGCCTTTAGAGGAGTAAGATATATCCTTAGACTGGGACTTCAGTGGTGACTGAACCTGGAGCAGGAGTACAAGGGAAAATGGGCAGAACTGCTGTACATCGGCATACCTTACATATGGCAGAGTAAACAGGAGAAAAGCTTAGAGAGCTCTTACTGTAATAACAAAATCTAAATTCTAAAGTGCAGCCTAATGTTCAATAAGCAGACATAGTCAATGCAGAAAGGTATTTTTTGATTTTAAACAGTGAGCTTGATCAGACTACCATCCCTTTCCACTCCAATTATAGGCACATCCTGCAATTGTGCATCGGCTTTCCTGATTTATATAATGGCTGTTTCTTAGATGACCATCTCTGTAGGCATTTTTTGTTTTTGTTTTTTGGCTCAGGATTAAGTGTGCCAGTGTGTCAAAACACTACCACATTGCTCAGCCCAAAGCAAGCACCAAGAAATGTCGGCTGTTACTTTTGTCTTCTCGCTCCCGTCTTCCACTTTCCGTGCTTAGTGTTTACAGGTGTCACTGGCCCTGCACACCAGGGAGGCACTTTTTTGAGCACTTTGAAGGAATGGGTTGAGAATTTCTCATTCAAGGGTTCATGCTGCCCTGTTGGCTAAGAACTCTCCTAGACATAAGCTACAGTACCTTCGCATATGCCTTTCTTTAGTTTTTCACTTATCTCGCCCATTGTGCTGAAGTCCTCGGCATAGAAGAGATGCTTGTTTGTGGGTTTAGAGGCGATCTCTTGCAGTTCTTCCTCAATGGCTTTTCCTACCCCGACAGCATACATAGTTATGCCTAAGGTGCAGAGCGAAAGGAGAACAGGGCGTTAGAGGTGTGTTCCCATAGTCCGGAAGTTGTGTGCACTGCACCCAAGGCCAGCTAGAGGTTGAGTGGCGTGATTTCTATGTCAGTCTCACTTTATTTTTTTCACCACTTTTATTGTGGCTCTGTGAGCAAAAGACAGGGATCCAATAGAGGAGGGTGAGGCGTCTAGGTGGGGTTGGGAAGGCAAGGTTGGTTAGCAAATCTTAACTTTTCCTTGAATTAGCTTTAGTGGATCCATTGGAAAAGAGCTCTATCTAATGGCTTACTAAATGGGAATCTCTTCTGGGAGAAGTCTAAGAAACAGGCATCTTATGACCTTATAACCTAGTTTCTACTTCTCAAAAGTTCAGGGAAGGAACTTTAAGTGACCTGGGGTGAGGTGAAGTGGCATCCTTCACCACCCCACCTTGGGAAGACGAAGCCTTGTGAGGAGGTGCTAAGCTAAAAACGAGAACTTGCAGACCACTGGAAATCCCCAACGTCAGAAGACATAACAAACCTATGAATCAAAGTTAGATCTCAACAGACATGAGAGGTTACTCCAAAAACTTTTAAACAATATTAATCACTAGACTCCCTTCCTCATATATTCTTTATTTTAAAGTAAAACAGTAAGACCTTTAGTGGTACTTGATTGTTAACATTTTTTTCAGCATGGATATCTTATTCTGGCTAATTCATTAGACTAGATTTTTTTTTTTAAATACACCTAAAAATGGCTCTTTAAGCTAAGGGGCAATAGTTATGCTTTGTTCTAAGTCTGTGTCAGGTCAGTAGCCAAGTTCAGCATATTTATCCAGGAGCCCAGGTGAGTTTTATGTACAACTTCCTAAGGAGGGTAATTAGTATTTTAAGATTGTATTAGCTATGCATAGGAATAATTAAATTCATTAGAGGATGTCACTTCAGATACATCTGTTGATTCAAGAACCAAATAAACATGTGCTTCTCCTACGACCTGCGTTTGGGTGATTTGTGGAAACATGAGTTGTGGAAAAAGTAAGGTAGATTGATCTCAGTGTGACAGATCAAAGGGCTAACCACTGTCTTCAGAGGCAAGAGGCTTTCCCCAGTATTTTAAGAATGCGGGTTGCAGGGGCCCACGGGCTTGCCATGAGCTTTCATCCACAAGCTCGTCCAGAAGCGGAGGAACTGCGAGTGAGCAGCCATCCAGGTGACTTAGGCAGGACACTTGTTTGTGGCTACTATGCTACTGGGCTCAGGAAAAAGTTGTGAATAGCAAGGGAAGCAGTAACAACAAAACGGCAAAACGGCCTCCTTCACCAAGAGTGATTGAATGCTGACGTGACCCAGCCCTTTGCGAAAGGAATGGAGTTCACTAACAGGATCGCTAGCACTTTCACTCTTTTGTTCATTCACTCAGCAAGTATTAGTCACACATGTACTACGTGCCAGGCCTAGGCACGGGGTCCATAAAGTCTTGGATGAGGCCCCAGGCTGTGCACACCCTTTCCTGCTTTACAGGACCTGCTAAAGCAACGTGTCTTCAACAAGTTCCTAAAGGGTGGTTTTTAAGCAAACTGCTTCACAGTCTCAAGTTTTCTCATCTCCCCAAAGAATCCACTTTGCCTTAGTTGTCTCTACCAACCATCCTAGCTTTTGATTTTCCGTTTCCAGGGGCCACACTTCACATCTATCCCCAACTAAAGTAAACTCCAGTCCTCCTGCCTTAAACATGGGGTCAGAAACCCCTCAGAGAAGAGGCTGAATTCTACTGAGCAATGGGAGCTTAGAGTCACAACCTCCTGCAACATTTTGATTTTCTCAAGAGCTAACTTTTGCCTCTTGTAAACAAAGAGTATTTGCTCTCCTAAGGTTATTGTGCTTTGGTCATTTACTTGAAGTATTGGTTAGGGAAAAAAAAAAGTCTCAGTAAAACATTCCTCCCACCAGGAATCTGTTTTCACCAGCATTTGAGGCCTGCTGTGTATTTACCTGTGGTTAAATAGCACTTGCAGGACTGATTCTCTCCGCTGGAGGTCACACCCTGGCCAGTCAAGTGCAGTAGATGATTACTCAGGTGTCTGCATCTAGACCAATTGCCCAGTCTGCCACTTTCACGTCCTTCCTGTCCCTGACCTCCCTGGAAGGCCTCTAGGTGGCAGTTTAGTAAAGTGTACAGCAGCGGTTGACCGAGAGCCTTTCTGTACGCTCTCAAAGGCTCACGCCTAGGGCCAGCTGTGACCACTGAGTGAGTTTAAGAAACCCGAACCCTGCGCGGTGTGAACCACACCTCCACCCCTTGTTACCATTGGCCTTGGCTTTGCTGGCCCACTCGGAGACGTCGTCCTGAGCCCGTCCATCTGTGAACACGATGGCCGCTCGGGGCACCCGTGCGGGGAGAGGCCTGGCCCCTTCCATTTGGGTAAAGCTTCTCTCAAACATGTGTTTCAGGGCCAGCCCAGTCATGGAGCCCTTGCCCATGTACTTCATGTGGGCCACGGCTTTTTTCATGTCCTTGGCCGAGCTGAAGTTTCTCAGGGTGAACTCCGTGCGGACCTGCGTGGAATACTGGAGCAGCCCCACTCGAGCGGCTTTGGGGGAAATCACCAAGGAATCTATGATTCCGGTGACAAACTGCTTCACAATCTCAAAATTATCTTCTCCGAGGCTCTTGGATCCATCGATCACAAAGACCAGGTCAACCGGGCCTTCAGAGCATCCTGTAGGAATGAAAGGAAAGTGGAGACAGGTAGCTGATTTTAAAAAATTGTTTATGCCCAAGAGTAGAAGAGAGTTCTGCTTCAGCTGGAGGCATAACTGCTTTGGAGAACCACCTTTGTTCTCAGATAACATACAGACAAGCGTGTCAGGAGAGGCACGCAGCACAGGTATAAATTGTCTAGGGATCCAGGTCCAAACTGTGTCCTGGGGCACTGGCAGCCAGGTCTGGGAGGCACTGTGGATAAAGTGCACCGAAGGGTCTCACAGCACCCACGAGATTCCTGTAACTTTACTCTAGCGCCCTAGTGCTGGCCTTCTGGCAGAGAATGGAAAAGGAAACTGATTTTTTGTTTGTTTGTTTGTTTGATTGTTTGCTTATGGAGCTTTATGCATATTGAATTTACTGGGATGACATTGGTTAATAAAACCATAAAGGTTTCAAGTGTACAACTCTAACACATCATCTGCGCACTGCATCGTGTGCTCACCACCCAAAGTCAAGTCTCCTCCTCCTACCATTTGTCCCCCTTTGCCCTTTGCCATCTCTCCCATCCCCTTTCCCTCTGGCAATCACCACACCGTTGTCCGTATCTACAGGACTTCTTTTCCTTCTTCTTAATCCCCTCACCTTTTTCACCCAGTCCCTCAACACCCTCTGCCCCTCTGACAGCTGTCAGTCTCTGTTCTCTGTTGTCTGTGATTCTGTTTCTATTTTGTTTGTGAGTTTATTTTGTTCCTTAGATTCCACATATAAGTGAGATCACATGGTATTTGTCTTTCTCTGACTGGCTTATTTTCACTTAGTATAATAATCTCCAGGTCCATCCTTGCTGTTGCAAAAGGTAAGATTCCCTCCTTTTTATGGCCAAGTAATATTCCATTGTGTAAATGTACCATTGTTTTTTAATCCACTTATCTATTGATGGGCACTTGGGCTGTTTCCATATCTTGCCTATTGTAAATAATGCTGTAATAAACATAGAGGTGCTTATTTTTTTTTTTTGAATTGGTGTTTCAGGTTGGAGAAGGAAATTCTTAAAATTCAGCCTAGCCATTGCTTTTTCCAGAGAGCTTTCCTAGAAACCCAGCTTGTGTTCAGTACTCTCTGTGTGCCCCTCACACTACACATTTATCCAACAAAACTTTGCTTATGAGCATGTGCTTCATGCAAGGCAGCAGGCACAGCAGGATGCGACAGTGACCCAGACGAAATCTTGACACCAAGCTACTGATCATCTAGTGTACTCTCTGCACTGTGCGATGGCTGATTATCTGTGGGTCTCCTCCTCTCGTCTGCCAGTTCCTCCAATCAGGGGCCACATCTCATTCCCTCTGTGCCCCCGAAACCTGGCACACAATAGGTATTCAATAAATGCTTGTTGACAAAATAAGAGAGGTGGCGTCCTTCAGGGAGCACACCTGTAAATAACCCTACTGACCTACTAAAACGTAAACATGAATTATCAGTGGAAATCCTTTCTCTACACAAAAGCTTTCCAGGCAACTCAGATGGTTGACAGTAAAAGCTTTATGCAAATACTTCAGCAATCTGGGTGTGGAGAGATTTTTCTTTTTTTGTTACTTAGGGCTGCATAAGACATTTACAGATCCCAAATGGATGACCTCATAACATTCTCTTTTATATATCAAGCAGCTGTCAAATCTTTAAATGTGAAGCACAATGATATAAGCAAGTAAAGGCACACACATGCAAAAACATTTCTATGCCTGGCCTGAATAGCATGTTAATGGGGCTGTGTGTGTGTGTGCACGTGTGCTGGTGAGGGGGGGGTGGGGTGGGGTTCCTCTCTTTCTCCATTAAGTGCTTGTCCTCATTACCTAACTTATTGATTCTTTATTAGTGACAGAGGAAAAGGCCAACTCAGAGTTCCATTTACATTCACAGCCTGTTCCTGAATCAACCAAAACAACAACAAAAATAGCAGGTGAAGAGTCTGTGGATCTCTAGCAGATTTCAGAAATACTGGAATAAGTTCCTAAAACTGAGTCTGTTTTCTCCTCTTCCTCATATACTCTTTTCTTACAGAACAAAACCAGCCCGTGCAGGCTCCATGCACAGTGGGGCACAGAGGGCTTCTCAGGAGACAAGGGTGCTAGGTGGGTGCAAGGCACCAGGGCGAGAGGTGCCAGGCTTTGACTTTCCCGCCCAGGAAGGATGCAGCCCCACCTTGCTGGTAACTTCTTTGTGGTGGTTGGGGGGTCACTCCAAATTCCCCTGGGCATTTTCTTTTTGGTAGCCAAGTCAATGGATTGGCTTTCAGGGCTTAATTTTCAGAGTTCCAGAATTTCAGGGTTGGATAAGACCTGTAACGGTCATCTAATGCAGCCTCCCTGTTGCTTACATCTTTACAACATCCCTACCGAGCCGCCATTCGGCCTGGGCCTGAGCACCTCTCCTGACGAGGAGGGTGTCACCTCGCCCCTGGAGCCCCATCTGTGGACAGCTATGCTGTTGACGATGACACCAGCTATCATTTGTCAAGCATTTAGAATGTGCCAGCTCTGGGCTAAGCACCTTTAAATATGTAACCTTATTTATTCCTCATCCTATAGATGAAAAAAAATGAGACTCAGAGAATTTAAATATATAACTATCCAAATTCACGCAGGTGTATGAATGGGGGGTTAAAATCCAGATCTTACTCAAAGCTCATGACCTTAACAAACTAATCACAGAGCTTCCCTGAGAGACAGTTTCTTTGTCCTTGAGCTGAGCTGTACTGTAGCTTCTCACCAGTGTCCTTTCCTTCTCTGGGGCAGGGGGAGGGCCACAGAAATCATGAATGAGGTGACAGTCACTTTGGTAATTGAATGGTATCTTAAGGTGTTTTTTTTTTTTATACAAAGACCCTAGTTTCTTCTTTTATTTTTCACTTGACATCATACTGGACTTCCTCACCATGATGCTTTCTAAATTTTGTCTCTATCCCTTTTCTTAACCTTTTTTTTCCTATAAAATAATACATGTACATGGAACAAAATTCAAACATTGTAAGAGTATATATATGTGTATGTGTGTATCTATTGCTCTCTCTATGTGTGTGTATATATATATATAATGTATATTAGAGGAGCCTCTTACAAAATATATCAATGGTAATACACTATAAAAACCATCCAGCACCATTTTCTTTCACCTAAAATGTCTTGAGGATACATCTAGAGCTGTTTCATTCTTTTACATAGCTGCATAGTATTCTATTGTATAGCTGCACTATAATTTACCTAATTAATCTCTTATGAATGGAAATTTACCTTGTTCCCAGTTTTTTGATGAAATAATACTGCACAAAATGTTCATATGTGTGTGTGTGTGTGTGTGTATGTGTGTATACACACACACACTTTGAGAAATACATGCACATATGGGTAGGATAAACTCCTACAAGTTCAATTGCCTTTAAAAATATTGCCAAATTGCCCTTCTAAATGTTGTACCAATTCAGACACTTAGTGATAAACTTGTAATTACCTATTACAATATACTTTTGCCAAAATAAAGGATCATCAGCTTTTTGATCTCTGATAACTAATAGGTAAAAAAAGAAAAAAGAAAAAAGGCTATTGTTAATCTCTTACTATACATTTTCCCTTTTTTGCTTCTATGGCTTTTATGTTTCGTGTCATGTTTAGAAAGGTCTTCTCTATTCTGAGTTATAAAATATGTCTCTCAATTTTTTTCCTGCTGCTTTAGCAGTTTTATTTTTGCAGGTTTAAACCTTTGCTCCCTCCCTCTCTTTCTGAAGTGCAGTGCTCAGAACTGAATGTAATTCTCCAGCACAGAGCACAGCACGGTCTCAAAAGACTTGCCCCAAGTGCTGAGTTAAGCTCTCTTCCCCATTCTCTATTTATGCATACGCACTCATATTTACGAGAGAAGCAGAGGTGGGGAATTTGTTCCCTGAAAGCAGTCCAAAAAGCGGTTACTCCCAAACCAAATTAGAGCAGAAAGCCAAGTCCAGATCACTTACTCTTGCACTGCCTTCCATCCTCAGCTAGAACAAATCCCTCTGAGCATTTGCAGACGTAGGAATTGCCACGACTAACACAAATGTGTTCGCAGCCATGGTGGGCCGATTTGCAGACATCCTTCCCTGTGGAATAGGCAGAGTTGAGCGATCCGTCGGTGCAGGAATGAGCTGGGTTGAACGGTCACGGCAGGAGAGATGGCGGAAGGAGTCCACTTTGTACAGATCCATCTGCCTTCAAACCCTCTTTAAAACTAACCCCCTTTCAGTCTAATCCTTAGGACAGGACATGGTGAGGGAAACACCCAGAAAGCTCTCACTCCCTCAAGCCTGAATGGTAAGGCGGGTGATCACTGTCCTGAATTTATTATCATTTTTCAAATTGTTCAACCTGCACTGGTTTTTGATTTTTCCCAAACTACTGATCTGTTTCCACAGACATCCCAAATACTCCTGTTTTAATAGTCTAATGATCCATGTCTCATGCGTGAAGTACTGTAAACTCTAAAAAGTAGTCACAGCCCTTTAATCTTTATGGCATCCTGTGATAAGAAGGAGGCAGGACTAATTATACCCAACTTACAAATGAGAAAACTAAAAAAGTTTCACAGAGTTGCCCAGAGTTGCAGCAAGCTGCTAGCAGATGAGGCATGTCGTCTCCCGAGTACTCCTCCTCCGCGGTGTGAAAGCCTACGGTTCTTTTCCCTCATTAGCTCTCTAAAGCAGGGAGCTTCCTACAAAATTGCAATTGGTGTGCTAAAGATCCCTCTAGAAAGTGAGAATGGAGGGATTTGATTTAGCAATTAAATTCCAGGGGTAGAAGTTGTACCTATTAAGCAACAAATGTGTTGAATGAACAAATGGTGCATATGTGCACGCCTGCATGTATAGAAATAGAAATGAAAGCATGAACAATGCCTCGGGCAACATCGTAGACAGGGTTTCTGCAGAAGGGGCATTGCTGTGTGAGGGCAAAACCCAGGGTCATGCAGGGAGCCCTGCAGACTGAGGCCAGGGTCCCACGGGCACCGAGAAGTGAGTTGTTCCTGCTAAAGGTAGGAGCCCTTCTTCCTGGTGGACAGCTGAGAGCAGCGAGTTCCATCTGACCCCGCTCTGTTGACACATGGAGTGACCCCAGTCAGCTCAAAGCAGTATGTGAGGAAATGCCCCAAGCCAACCTTAAGGCAAATGAGTTCATTTTGCCTTAACTAAAAAAGGGCCATTCTGCTCACTGGAATAGAGTATCACAAAAGCAGGTCGATGGTGCTGAACCCCCCCAAAGTAGGGATTAACAGCTCACAATCTCACAGTGGAGGAAAATGTGCTCTTCTGATGCCCACCTCACAGAGCTACTGTGTCTCTGTCCCTAACTTTGAGTGCTGTGATGGTTAAATTTACATGCTACGGTGCCTGGTTGTGTGGTGAAACAGCAGTCTAGATGTTGCCATGAAGGTTCTTTTTCAGATGAGATTAACCTTTACATCAGTAGGCTCTGAGTAAAGCAGAGTATTTTCCATAATGCAGGCGGGCGTCACCTAATCAGTAGAAGGCTTTAAAAGGAAAAAGACTGAGGTTTCTCCGAAGAAGAGAGAATTCTGCCAGCAGACTGCCTTTGGATTAGAGCTGCAACATCAGCTCTTCTGTGCCTCTCAAGGCTGCTGACCTACCCTGCAGATATTAGAATTGCTAAAGCCCATAATCATATTCTATCTATCTCTTCATCCATCACACAAATACATCTATATGTATGTATCCTATATATGCGTATATACACATACACACACCCATACATCTTATTGGTTCTGTTTCTCTGGAGAACCTTGACTAATATGCCTTCTAAGCACACTCTCAGAGCCTGAACAGTGTGATAAATAAAAGCAAACGATGGCATGGATAAATAAAACCCACAGAAGATCCCTTCAGCGCCTCTCTTATCCTCTACTCTTACTTATAAGAGCTTTCAAGAAGAAAAAGCACTGTAATAATCTTCTGATCCCCACAGCGATGGCTCGCAGAGATTCTAATCGGTCCCATGACCGGGCACAGCCTTCGTGAAGAGGGCCAGCAGCTGGCGGAAAATGAAAAGGGGCAAAGAGCCTGACAGCTCAGGACCTTGAGTGAGAAATTCCTGACAACTAAGGGTCTACTGTACTGCGCCCAAGCAAGACACTTCAGGGTGCCCAAGGAGGCAAGGAACTTGTCATTGTGACATTGATTGCAAAGAAAGATTTAAAAGATTAAATGAAGTTACATAACTGAGTCCCACAGATGGGCAAGTTCATCTCTAGCTGGGGGTCACTTACTTTTGCAGCGTTTCCCATCCTCAGTGAGCCGGAACCCCTCCAAGCACTTGCAGATGTACGACTCGCCATTGTTCACACAAATGTGTTCACAGCCATGGTCTACTGCTTGGCAGACATCTTTCCCTGAGGACAGAAGAGCAAGTTAAAACCTTTCATTGACATAAAGTATCTCCGGGCTTCACCTCACAGGACCCATTCATGTCATCTCCCAGAATCTGGAGCCCTTTGAGCTCAGTGATCCATGAGGAGAAGATGAAATTAGGGATGCAGTTCAGTGGCTCTAATCTGAGCTAACTGTTCAAACCTCCCCACTACCATCACCATCCTCATCCACCAGCATCTAATTCAATGTCTCATAAAAATGCCATCTATCATCAGCTTTCTGCAGATGTAGTTTCTGATACCAGAAGGGAAACATTTTTGGTATGATTGCGTAGAAAATTAAACCTCAGTTTAGATTAGCAGCACTGAAATCTACTTTTGGCTCTGTCACCGTCATGTTTTGTGACTTGGGAGAATTACCTAACCCTTCGGAACCTTACCTCTCCTGTCTGAAAAATGAGAGTAACAATTTCAGTTACTCATCTCTGTTAATATGAGTTGCCCTTTGAAAAGTGCTTTGAGAAGCTTGAGAAAATAAGTGACCAACAGGGATGGAAATCACTTGCTCAGGGCCACACACCCCGCTTTGATGATGCAGAGATGTGTCCTGGCTTCATCTCAGAGACTTTGCTTTCTGAGACGTCAGAATGGCCTTATCATAAGGTGGTCTCTACGAGGGATTTGTGCTCCCGGAAACAACAATATTATTAGAAATAAAGAAACAAAGGCTCAGAGAAGTGAAACAACTTGTCCAGCTAATAAATGGCAGAGATAGAAGTTGATAGTATGTTGGGTTTCAGACTGCATGTCTTTGCACTAAACCACACTACTCAACCACTGTTTCCTGCCACAGAGCATAAATGAGCAACTTCAGCTGCAGCTCTGGCAGTGGCTTTTTTCATTTGCGCATTTGTTTGTTTGTTTTATCTTTAAAGGACTTTATTGTCCAGGACAGGTTTAGATTCACAGAAAAATTAAAAAGATATTACAGAGAGTTCCCATAAATCTCATACCCAGTTTCCCCTCTAACACTTTCCATTAGTGTAACACATGTTATAATTAATGGACCAGTATTGATATATCAACTAACATCAACCAACGTCCACCGTTCATTTGCGTTTCCTTAGTTTTTACCTTCTGGCATTTTTCTGAGCCAAGATCCCCTCCAGAATTCCACATGACCTTTGGTGGTCACATGGCATTGAGTTTGGGAGTAGCTGACTCACACAGAGGTCGGGATGGTGGACTTCATGCAGAGGACAGACTCACGGATGTGAGCCAACTCCAACGAAAACTTACTTCTGCAGGTTTTTCCGTCTTCACGGAGTACATATCCTTCAAAGCACTGGCACACAAAAGAGTCTTCGCTGTTTACACATGAATGTTCACAACCATGGTCCCCCAGAGCACAAGGGTCCAATTCTGAGAACCCAGGTGGAATTAGAAAAACAGAAGAAGAAAATGATTCAGATGTCAGTAGCTTATTCAATCCTAAATGACAGTTCGGACACCTTAAATTCAAACAGTATCTAATTTCAGAGTACACATTTTAAAATAGAAAGCATGCCTACGAGGAAAATTTTTAATATGTAAAGAACATTTAAATTAAAGAATATCATCTTCTTCATAGGAAAAACGAAGAAAAGACCTGAAAAGACAATTTACAAAAGGAAAGCTACAAATGGCCTTACTAGAAAATAAGTTCAACTTCATTGGTTATCATATAATGTAGATAACGTATCTACATGTCTCCTTAGATGTGCGTGTATGTGTCACTCTTAGGTAATCCATTCACTTAGTTAACAATATTTCATGAGTCCCTACTCTGGGAGTCAGGCACTCTTCTAGGCTCCGGAGATACAACAATGAATAAAACAAAATGTCTCTCCTGTGAAGCTTACATTTGGCAGCAGGGGTGGGAGGGAAGAGCAGGGAAGACAATAGACGAATACATGTCAGATGGGGAAAGTGCTTTGAAAGAGTAAGAGCAGGCGAAGGGGGATGCGGTGCGCCTGCCGGGTGGGCCATGGGAGGCACTTGTCATTTTACGCGCTGCAGTCAGATGAACTGGCACTGAGCAGAGGCCTGAAGAAAGAGATGAGTGAGTGTGGCCTCTCTGGGAAAGAACAGCCCCCCCAAGAAAGGATCTGCACACTGCTGCAGAGGCAGCAGCATGTTTGGCATGTTTCAGGAAAGACACAGAGACCAGCGTGACCCAAGCAACAGGACCCTGGCAGGGACTGATCAGAGGCAGATCACATGGGATTTGCAGGCAGTGGTTGAATCTAAGTGAGAAAGGGTCACGGGTGAGGGGGTGGGGGTGTTGAGCAATAGAGTGACATAATCTGATCTGCTTTCATTTTAAAGGGACTGCTGTGCACAGAGTCGGGCCTGGGATGTAGCACAGGAGCTAGAGGAAACCAGCTGCAACAATCCCGGCGGCCCAGACCCGGCTGGCGAGAAGTGGCCAGACGGAGGCCCTATTTTGAAGGTAGAGACTACAAGGTTTGCTGATGGGTTGACATGCACTGAAGTTATTAAAGCTCGGAAGAGTATAATCACTTTTATAATCAAGCACAGACGATACACTTTAAGGCATCTGTGCAGTATTTTGTTTTGGAAGAGAGTCCTGAGACACACCCTATGGGTTAGTTAAGGCACCGTGGTTATTGTCATTCCCAGCGAGGGAAATTAAGGTTAATGGCTTGCCAAGAGCAACTGCTAATAAGTGATAGGACCAGGCTAAAAATGTAATCTTCTGACACCGAATCCTCTGTTTTCCCCAACTTCACTGCAGGGCTCCTTTCTAAGGCAGCAATTTTCAGCCAGTGCACCGCAAGGATTTTTAAAACATCCAACACCTGACTATTTAGTCCGGGGCACTGGCCTCTTTTTCCCTTCAATAGACAAATAAAAGAAAGACAACAGCCAACACAACAACAGCTGTCCAGTGTGAATGAATCAAAATTATACCTGTTTTTTTGTCAGATCGGCCACAAATAGAACATATTTTTTTGGTGGACTGCAGAATGTTAGTGATTAGTTTATGTGTGCCATGAGATGAAAAAGGTTGAAAATTGTTGTTGTAAGGTAAGCTTGCAAATACGAAGGAAATTTTGTCTGTCTCCGTTGAGCAGAAGCACCGCCAAAAGTCTGGAGCAATGGGAACGTGTGATGGTAATTGGAATTATACCTGCAGAGGAGACTGGAAGGGAGTTGGTTCCCCTCCCCCAACCCTCTGTCTGCTCTGAAAAGGACTTACTTCTCTCGGCACAGTCTAGAGTCATTATTAATGCAGAGAGCATTTCCTCACATAGTCTTGAGTGGAAATATAGTTGCACGATCCACAGTACGACTGCTGGCTGGCTGGGGAGGTGAGCATTTTTTCCCCGCCATGAATTTATATTAAGAGTACTCAATTTTCCAAGGTAATAAAAGAGCCATAACTCTCTCAGGCCAGCCTCGTCAAGCCAGAGTCCAGGCAAGACCTTTTCTTTCTAGAGCCTGCCCCATACCCCGTGCAGTCCTCTCAGCTCCAGCTCAGCCTTTCATCTTGAAGAGTGGGTGAGTCTCCTCACACAGACTCTGAGGGCCACTGACACCCAGGCGTTCCGGACCCACAGTGGTCGGAGTCTGACTTGGCCGAAAGGCACTGCTTTCTTTAGGAACCCGTGGAGCCCAAAGTCGCAGTCCCTAGGGGCGTGTCTTCACCCTTGGCGGCAGATTATCCCCGAGTTCCCAGCCCACTTTCCGAGTTCTCCTGGGCTTTCACATTAGTAGCTGTTTGGAAATTTTGTTGCATGCATGCTTTAAAAGCATGTGGAGAGTTTAGTTTTTAACCTTTCTCCTCCTCCCCGACTCAGACTGTCTGATCAAGAGAGTAGCACAGAGATGAGGTCTCGCCTCAGCATGGACTTACTGTCTGCACACAACAGGCCCTTGGTAAGTACCCACTGAGTAAAAGGAAACGTTTCCTCAGTTTTCCACTCTGAAAAGTGAGGGTGACTAGAGCCCCATCCTGGGGTTTTTGTGCAGATGTTTTAACTGAAAACCAGTGCAGTGTGGATTCTGGGGTCAGTGGGCTCCTCACTCTCTCCCACATACCAGCCTTGCTGGGGGCACAATTCCCATTTGTTCAGCAAAATGTCCAGTTTCAGCATGTCGGGGATGTTCTGGATCACTCATAGATTCAAAAGCCACACATGGGAAACTAGAGAATGCCAAAGCTGTACTGTCGTTAACTTCCTGACCACAAGGTCTAGTGGCTTTCTACTTGCCAAGTCTGGAAACCAACCTAGAGCCAGCTTCTCCCCAGAGCCAAAGGTACTCCCCTCAAGGAAAGTACTTCAGTGGGTCCCTAACAGGCAAACAGAGCCACCCTCCCTGACTATCATGGGGTGCCTTGCCTGGGGAGAACTGCGGGCACCCAGCGAGGAGTTCATTCATTGAGTAAGTGTCTATGGGGCACTAACTCTGTGCCAGGCACTGTACTTTCGGTCTGAGAGGGATCTTGGAGATTAACTGGTCCAATCTTTTTGTTTCAGAGTTGAGAAAACTGGTGGCCAGAAAGAGGAAGTCACTTTTCCAAGGTCCCTTAACCTGCAGAGGCGACCTGTGTCAGCTGTGCTGGTGTAGAGGAGTGATTAGCTCACAAATCTATCACCTCTGTGTTCCCTGGTCCATTGCACCCAGTGGTCCTCCTAGGTCGGCAGAGTCTGCTCAGGCAGGCTGGTGGATTCTCAGAAGACAAGTTAAAATAGTTTTCTCAAGGGAGGCCAGGCCTCCAAGTAGTTTAGTGTAACTCTGCGTGCTAGTGATCTGTTCCACCTGCGTCTCCCAGAGCATCCGTCACTGGTCTCCCTCATGCACTCAAAACTCAGTACTCAGTACTCTCTGGACCCTGGGCTTCCGTGTGCTGTTTCCTGTGCCTGGGAAGAGCTCCCCACTCCATCTTAGTCCATGGGTGCCGTAATGCAATACCACACACTGGGTGGTTTCTACAGCAAAAATGTATTGATTGCGGTTTGGAGGCAGGAAGTCTAAAATCTGGTTGCCCCTATGGTTGGGTGAGGGCTCCCTTGCAGGTCTCGGACGTCTAGTTGTACCCTCACATGATAGAAAAGACTGGGGAGCATTGTGGGGTCTCTTTCATAAAGGCACAAATCTCATTTGTGGGGACCCAACACTCATGACCTAATCACCTCCCAGTGGCCCCACATCCTAATACTACAACCTTTGGGTGGTTAGGATTCCAGCATAGATCTTGCAGGCCAGGGGCAGGAGGAAGGGAGAATGGGCTTCACTGCAGATGCTACAGCACCCAAGGGGCCTGCAGGGCTATGGAGTAACAGTGCCAATTAGTCTATGCTTCAGAGAACCTTCTGGAAGGTAAGTGAAGGGTTCTTCAGGCCGCCTGCTATAAAAGCTCCAGGAGAAGGCTGACTTTGCCAAGGGCCAAGGACACCCTTATCTGCTGAGCCAGGCCTGGGTGACCGCTGGCGGGCCCATCCATAGTCCAGCAGGTTTTTCCAAAAAGGTGCAGTCACATCAGCAGGATCTTTGTCATCTGGCCTAGAGCTGGGAAACACACACCCCAACCCCCAGTTAACTATGGCCATACTGAAAACAGCCCATGATTACAGGGCAGGGCAGCCAGGCTGAGTCACCCTGGGGCAGACAGGAAGCCTTCAGTTAGGGGAAAGCTCAATGCATAGGTATCAGCTGGTGTCTCTTAGGTACCACCGTTCCCTGAGGATAATAAGTCTAACCCATCTGGTCATCTCATGAGTTTTTATATAGTCACAACAATATATTCGACACACAAGTCACAATTCACTCCTAATGGCACTGTTGACCATTTACTCATATGGATGATGTCATTGTACCATCAGTTACAAACACACTTTAAATGAGAAAATGGACAACATTTAAAAGTGCCAGGGGCATAATCCAGATGTGGACCTGGGTAAGGAGGGAGAGGGGGCATGCGATTTTAAGGAAAAGCAGCAGCATTTGTTTGGAGGGGTTGCAAGAATTTCTTTAGAAGGCCTGCAACCCTCTTCAGAGTCAGCTCTTGGTGATCACAGTAAGAGGGAAGAAAGAAGGGCGTGAATAATCTAAGATGGTGGGGAATTAAAACAAACCAGTAAAAAACCATGCATCTGGCTTTGGCACACTGTCAGATGTCCTTGCAATTCGACACACCCATCCTCTCTCTGCACCCCAGTGCCCACACCCGCCTGCTGGCCAGGAGGCAGCTGGGCAGGCAGCCATACACAAGCATTAAAATGGATAATCCACTTGCCAAGACTCAAGAATCTGTCTCTAAGTAGGGAAACATTTCTCACAGGCTGCACAATTAGGGAGGCACACCCAGCTGGGCAGCCGGCTCACCTGGCCATAAGAACGGGCCAAATAAAAAAGTGGATGAATTAGGTTGTGGTCACAATTGTATCAGTGGTCAAGGAACGTGATCCTATAAACCTCAAAAGACCGACAGGATAGGGAAGGTAAATTATAGTGTTCTTCCTCCATTTCTCATCCCCTCTCTCAAAATGACTTTTTAAAAAGTCTTTATCTTGGAAGTGGAATTGCTGGGCAGAAAATAGCATATTTCTCAATGAAAGAGAAAGATGTAGGAGGTTTTTGTTTGTTTTGGGTTTAAATTAATGGAGGCTGAAGTTGGGACCAGATGCAAGAAGTATGTACCCAGGAAACATCACTGCCAACCTCACCATCTGAAGCCAGATGATCGCGATGGAGGGAGGGAAGGTTTCCCAGGAGCCTCCCTTCTCCCAGAACTGCCTTTGGAGTCACACGGACCAGAGCCTGAACCTACTTCATAACGGCTGGTAACCGCAGGCTCTTTACTTAGTCTGAGCCACAGTTTCCTCGCCGCAGGGTGGGAATTCCATGGGGTTGCAGGACCTGGAGGAGGCCCGCACTAGCTTGAAGTCAGCAGTCAGTACGGGGTCCACAGGGCTATTACTGTGTGACCCTGGCTGGTTACCGCTTTCGGCCAGATTGAGGGGTTAAAGAAATGAGAGCTAAGAAATGGGGCTCTCTACCCAGCCTCAAAGCGACAGTGAGGCAGGCTGTGGAAATAGGAAAAGCCACCTTTGGTGCTGGAAAGGGAAGCTAAGGGTGGGTTGGGGGGCAGCAGCACCTGGGGTCTCACATCGCAGAGAAAGGTTTTTCCGCACATTGACTCTTGCCAGCGACAGACACCTGGGGAGCAAAGCTCGGGAACTACCTGTCCGCCAGCGCACCTCTCCTGGGACCGCCCATCACCCAGGGATCGCCCGTGCCGAGGCCCGCTTGTCGCCAGACCTGAGAACACTCACTGGCACAGGTCTTCCCATCACTGCGGAGCACATGGCCCTCGGGGCACTGACAGGCAAAGGATGTGTCGGTGTTGACGCAGGCGTATTCGCAACCATGGTCACTCAGCAAGCAATAATCAGCCCCTGTAAAACCCAACAGCCGGGCAAGGAGGTCGGCGAGGCCTCTGGGTTTTCCGCCCGCCCCGCCCCCAAGCCTGCCGTCACGGGGACGTCCCATGATCTAGAGGGCAGAGGAGACAGGGGCAGGCGCACTGTCCTCCGCAGGCCTCACGCTGCTCACTCCTGCAAACCTCTCCCCGCCAGAGGAGCGGGGAGGGGGACTCACGGGAGCAGGTCTTGAGGTCCTCATTGATGAGGAAGCCTTCCGAACACTGGCAGACGAAGGACTCCTCTGTGTTGAGACACAGCTGCTCACAGCCATGGTCCTGCTCCGCGCAGTGATCCACCCCTGCGGTTGTCACATGAAAACAGAAAAGAGTAACAGGAGGGGGCATGCTCACCAGCCACGGGGCATCCCATACAAATCCCCAAAGGAGCCCCTGAGGACCCCTCTCACTTTATTCTACCCTGTGTGGCTGGCCTCTCTAGAATATGTCTTGTTTGTTTCTCTTCCCATGTCTTTGAAGAGTAAAGCACCCACAGCTCCTGAGCAGGCCTTACTGACTGCAGCCTTCTTTGCAGGGTGGGCCTTCGCACCGCAATCAAGTGCTCAGGGCAATGCTGAGAGCAGGTGCAAACCCCATCTCGCGGGGAGGAAAGTGAGGCTCAGGAAGGTCAAGCTGCCTGCCCAAAGCCACACCGCTGACAGAGTCGCTGACAGCTGACAGAGTCGCTGACAGAGCTGCGCTGAAGAATGAGCTTTCTGTCATCAAACTGCTTGGGATCAAATCCCACTCCACCACTTCCTGGCCATGGGATGCTGGGCAGTCACTTGGCCCCTTTGCCACTGTTTCCTGATGAGAAATGGGATGATGATGGAGTTGATACATGTAAAGTCCTCAGAGTAGTCGCTGACGCACAGACACTCCTTAATGAATACTTATTAGTACTATTATTGAGTAGTGTTGAGTAAGAATTAATTTTACAGTTTCATTTCTATCTGAAAATGAAAAAGAAGGTTTTTTCCCCCATAACCAGGACAGCCAGATTCAGAAAACGAGCCAAAGCCCAGGCCTGCATGTGTGGCTGCCCCTGGCACACCCGCACCGCACAGCTGGCACCCCGGGCAGTGGGCACTGAAGGACGGTGCCCGCACAGCTGCGTGAGCAGCTCCCGCAGACGGCCCTGCAGGCTGTCTCCCAGAGACTGGACAGACACTGGAGGCCTGTGCAGGGCGAGCACGTGGACTTCTTTGACTCCCACAGGGCCTGGCACTGATGCCTTCTGGAACATCCCACTGGTGGATGTGCCTTCTGCAAACATCTGCAGGATTTTAGGAGTCAGAGACCTGTATTTACATCCTGGTTCCACCATTTACCAGTCATGTGTCCCCAAGAAAGCTACTTAATCTTTTTGTGCCACAGTTTGTGCATCTTACTTTTTTAATTTTTTTTTTTTTTTTTACTTTTGATTTTAGAGATGGGGAAGGGAGGGGGAAAGAGAAACATCAGTTGGTTGCCTTCCTTTCAAGCCTAACCCTAACCCACAAACCTAGGCATATGCCCTGACCGGGAATTGAACTGGCAATCTATTGGTTTGCGGGATGGTGCCCAATCAACTGAGCCACACTGCCTGGAGTTTCTCCATCTTCAAATAGGGATAAGAATGTAGATGCCTCCTAAGGCTGTTGTGAGGAAAAAACGAGTGAATGCCTGGAAAACGCTCACAGCGGTGCTGCCCAGATAAAATGCCCAGAAGGGCTTGCTGTCTTATGGCTTGGGGCTCCCTGAGCCCCCAAGGGGAATAGGGTACAATGGCTTTCTCAGGGGCCTCCTAGGAAGAAGTGGCTTGGTTTATACTTTCTTGAAGCTGACTAGGTGGTCTTTTAATTAGATTCTAGAGAGAAAAAATGGCCCATCTCTTTGTCCTCTCTTCTGAGCTCTCTAGGTCCCCCAAGGCATGCTGGCAGGGAGAGGCAGGCCGCAGTCCCCAGGGCTTTCATGGGCTCAGCCAGGTTGTGCCCAGCCTGCCCTGCTCCTGGAAGATGGCAGAATGTACTCAGATCTTTCTTCACCAGGGTATCTCCTTGCCATGTGGAAGACCTCCTGCTCCCCACTCACGTCTCATGAGGAGACTCAGAGACATCCAGACGCAAATGCCATGGCAGGGCCAACCATCTGGTTCAAAAGTTCTCTGACCTCTGAGATCAGTCCTTAGAAAGCCTAAGGGAGGCACTTTGTTCCCTCTGAAGACTAAAGGGGCACAAGTTTTCCTGAGGACTCTGCTCTGTACCTAATACTTCATCTGTAAAATTTCCCCTCCTGGCAGTTTAAGGTCCAAATGCTGAACAGCTGCACTGTTCTCGTTCACAGTCTATCTCTGTCCCCAAAGCTAGAGCAGATGTGCGGCTTGCTGGGTGGAAAGGCACACAAAGGGCCCCTTCTTTGCTGGCGGGTGACCAAGCCCCTCTCCCCGCACCGGGGTCACAGGCACCCACTGCAGTACTCAGGCACCCCCACCCCTGCTGGCCTGAACCAGTGCAGACTGGGCCTCATAAAAAAGGATGGCGTCGTCCAGCTGGCAAAGCCTGCAAGTTTCCATGCGTTTACGTCACCCAATGGAGCTTTGTTGTGCTTCTTACAAAAGAAAATTAAGGAAAGGCTTCACAGAAAGTCCCATGTGTCTTAGCTCCACCCGCAGATTAGCTCTGTGGTAGCCCAAGTGCTTTCCAAGCTTTGTCCCTTCCCCTCTCTTGTCCCAAGCTGGGGCCAGCACTCGTGGCTCTCCCAGGCTCTATGATAATAATGAACTATTATCTGTAACTGTATATTTTCTCTGTGCCAGGCACAGTGCCAAGAGATTGAAATGCTCCTGATTATTCCCCTTAACAACTCTAGATCAGTCCTATTACTATCTTCACTTTTTTAAACAGATGGAGAAATCAGAGCTTGACAAAATGAAGTAACTGCTCTTGGTCACACGTCTAGTACGTGGTTGAACTTGGACTTGGTTTCAGGATGGTCCGACTCAATCAGTGCTCTCAAGAGCACTGATTAATATTTATTGAGTGCTTATTACATGTTTATCAGCATTTTTCTAAGTGTTTTATATGTATTGATTATTTTAATCCTCCCAATGCAATCTATGAGGTAGGTAGCATTAACAGTCCCATTTTATGGATGGCAAAACTGAGGCAGGGCAGGTTAAGTCTCTTAGACCCTCAGGCCCACAGGAAACCCAGGAACATCAGAAGCAGTGGGCTGCTGGCGAGCTTGGGGGCCTCGCAGGGCCCCCTTCCCTCCAGTCAGCATTACCACCCCTGGGCACACTTACGGCTGCAGGTCTTGCCGTTGGGGTCCAGGGTGTAGCCTCGGTGGCAGCGACAGTAGTAGCCCTCCTCTGTGTTGACACATTCGTGCTCACAGCCTGGTTTCTTCAGCGCACAGTAGTTAATCCCTGAGGGGAAAACGGGCAGATCCTGCTTCAGGCTCTGGGCTTCTCCAGGGCTGTGAGGTCAGCCCCTCACAGGAAAGAGTCAGTAAATCAGGCGTTTGATAAAACACAGGGAAAACAGCTCCCGCTCTCCCAAGCTTAGCTGAAGGAGAACCTGGTCTCCGGAGTGTACCCCTTGTTTCCGCAGCATGGGTCCTTCCCCCTTGGATGGCTGAAAAGCTGAAAAATGGGCTGAGGGCCACAGTCCCCAGCCTCATCCCTTCCAAGAAAGTTGGAGACGCTGAGAAAATCCAGGAGTCTCTTCTTCCAATTAAACTGATCACTAGTACTCCAAAGCACGTAGGGAGCTGCCATCTGCTGTGGCATCTGACAGTGACATCGGACGGCCCAAAGCAGAATGAACAAAAGCTGATCTTGCAAGATAACCAGCTACTTAGGAGGGACAGGAAATGGCAGTTACATTAAGAAGGGTCCAAATACATAAGTTTGCTCGGAGTGAGACCACAATAGTATCCCTATCAAGAGCCTGAGAAAGGTCCATCTCAGATGCTGCCCAGGTTGTTGTAGTTTTTCCTACGGTAATATCCACCCCATCCAAGCTACTTAGCAATATAGTTGTCTAGCAGCCAATTAGCGGTTTCATTTCCTGGTAGAAAGTGCTAACACAAGGCCTCACACAAAGCAGGTTATGGGAGAGATGGAGAATGGTAAACAGGAACCAAATGAGCTTATGGAGAGCTTTCATGAGACTGGTGTTGGGGAAAAAGTTCTCTACCACTCTCAATGGCTGGTCTGGGTCAGTTTAACTGCACTGTTCTTTTTTCCTGGGGATGTGACAGACACTCTTGGTTGCCTTGGCAACCATCATTACCTGTCTTCTCGGGACCAGAACCCTGATCCTCATGAATCATGGCTGGTCTAAGCCAGACCAGCAGCCATGTGCTCCGCTGACGGTAATTGATCTATGAGTCATAATGAGCCCTAATTCTAGCCAATGAGACATCAGAAGTTTATTGGGGCCCCTAGGAAAAATTTTCTTTCCTGAAAAGACAAAGATGTATAAAGAGAAACGGTCTTTTCTATCCTCTTTCCTTTCTGTCTTTGGGTCTCGTAGTGTGAGGTCATGATGCTTGGAGCTATGGCAGCTGTTTTATAACCGCAAGATGACAAGTGTGAGGATGAAAAGACAACACACTTTAGCAGAGCAAAGGGACAGAAAGAGTCTGGGTTCTTGATAACATCGCTGAGCCAGCCCTGGGACCAACCACCTCTGCATCTGTTAGGGAAAAGTAAATGTCCTTAATTGGCTTCAGACCCATGCTACAACGTGGATGAACCTTGAAGATATTATGCTAAGTGAAATAAACCAGTCACAAAAGGACAGGTATTCCACTTATTTGAGGTACCTAGAATAGGCAAATTGATGGAGCAGAAAATAGAACAGTGGCTGCCAGGGACTGAGGGGAGAGAGGAACAGGGCGTTACTGTTCAATGGGCACAGAGTTTCAGTCTGGGGAGAGGAGGGCGCCCTGAAGGTGGAAGGCGGTGATGGTCCCACAATAATGTAAATTACTTAATGCCACTGAACCGTGCCATTTAAAATGGTTGCAATGGTAAGTGCAATGATAAATTTTGTTCTGTATATTTTACCACAATTTTTAAAGTGCTGGCATTGTCTTTAAGAAAGACATACACACAAAATAAACTGAAAAACATCTAGATTCTTAAAGAGGTTATTACTCAGTTATTTGGCAAACAGCAGTTCAAAAATGACTGCAGAGCTTTGATTTCTTTACACACTTGAGGCACATTTCTTTATGTAGCTCTACTTAGATATTCATTGGCTTATTTATTCATTCACTCTGTTTTTATTGAGCAGCTACTATGCACCCCATATCTAGCTCAGTCTCATCACTAACTGTGAAGTGCTACACAAGGGCCAGGCTAGGGTGTAGCTCTATCTGGTAAAGCCCCTGTGAGGTCAGATGGTAGAACTGTCAGGGAACAAGTTAAACAGCGCTTAGAAGATGGAGACCACACTGAAAAGGTAAGACAAAAACATGAAAGATCAGTGATCCTAGGGAATGAATTATGATGCCAGCTGAGTGGCACAGGTACTTCTGAAAAAATTGGGCGAGCTACCAAATGTTAAAGCAGGAAGTCATGTTCCTTTGATTTAGGAAATCCAGGTACTGATAAGTAAAGCAGTCTGTCCACGGTCACATGGCCAGTATGAGTGACACTGCCAAGATCAGCTCTCACAGGTCCCGACTCAGACTGATCTGTGGACCCCACCCTGGGCCTTCAGAGTGTGAGGTCTTCAGCCACAGGGAGCACCAGTGTAAGCAATCCTGGAGCGCACCCACATCTGACTCCCGGGGTCCCAGCAAGAAAGCCAGGCCAGTCCTGGTGTCTGCGCTTCGCACGGCCGCCTGAACGGTATATGCCTTAAATCGATGAGAGCGCTTTTCAGAAAAAGAAATTGTGCCCGGATGAGGAGGATGAATGAATCTTGGCCAAGGGTCTTTTCTTCAGTAGGATTCTGCCTGAACTCCACAACCCCCGCCCCCATTTAATTGGATGACATCAAATTCCTTTGAAAAATAGATTTATTAGATTTGAAAATAGCCCCCATCCATTAACCGCCTATGAAATGTAAATGCTGTACTCCCAGCTCGAGATCTATAATGCTCTTGAGATCCTCAGGCTCCTAATAACAAACTCAAGATTTGAAACCAAATTTCTTTGCTATCCTCTTCCATGTAATGCTCCACAGAGACAGTGAGCACTCGCTTTCATTAACAGCCCTCTACCAGGACAGACTGAGTGCAAACATTAAGTCAGGGGCTGGGTCAGCAGCGAAAGACTGGAAAACGTAACCATGAGGCAGGATGTTGGGAGAAGGGCTGATGAGGCCACCAGGTTTCAGGAACAAATTCCATTTTCCTTGGATGAAAAAGTAGGGCGCCTGGCTAAAGAGGAAATGGAGCTATAATTGCTGGATCTATAGGGTGGGGCAAAAGTAGGTTTACAGTTATTTGTAGGGAAAATATTAATTAATTAATTAAGTAACCCATAGTAATGCAAGAATAAACTCTGTGTTTCGTGTACTCACCCATGTAAACCCACATTGCACGAGTCTGTATATACATGAGCATTAGGGACTCTGGACTGGGCTGAGGTCTGCCAACAAGCCCACCTGTGAACTGATCTGTGGTGGTCAAACTACTCTTGGACGGTCTCTTTCTCTCCACTCGCCCTTCTGTTCTTCGCCTCCCTCCTCCCTTGATAATGATGTGTGCACCGCCTCAGACCCTTCTCTCATTCCAAGTGCCTCCCAGGTAGGATGTGGAGGGCGTGGAGGGAATCTTAGATGAATGGTATGAGACACAGAGCTTCACTCCACTGATGGCCACATGCCTGACTTGTTTCCTTTTCCCTCCATTAGTAACACAGTGAAGCTTGCAGCAACACAATGAGTGTCTGAGTTTAACCAGATCTAATTATTCCCCACATAAGAGTTTTTGGTCCACAAATGTGAGTCCACCTGTGAATGATTTTCCCTAGGTGTAGTCAGCCACGGATACATTCACCACTAAAAAAAAAGATGTGACTAGCAGAGAGGAGTGGCCAGGCCAGAAAATTTGGCCCTCTAACATATTGTGTGCATGTGCAGTCTAATGGAAAATGCTCCATCTAATTGTTTCTACATTCTGAATGCTCTCAGGTAAAATGCCCGTTTAACGTTTGGGTGTTTCCAGGGTTTGCACCCAGGCAAGACAATGCAGTTACTTTCTGCAAAAGAAGCTTAGTTTCAAAATGTGGACTCTGCAACCATCTACCAGTGTGCAAGGCTTAACACTTACTAGAGTGAGTGTGTAAGTCAATATATGCTGTCAGCAGAATGTGGCTTCTCTGGATTCGGTTATGTACAAAGCACCAGGAGGGGGTACGTGAAAGAGCCCATGCGATTACACACCCCTACACGGGAGCACCCGGGAACTCTGTGCGCCATGCTGTCAGGAGAACGAGAACAGTTCAGAGTGTCTAAGTGTAGACTGACTATAAGAATACTTTTTGAAAAAATTCACAACTTGCATGACTTAAAAAGGTTATCTTTCCAACAAGATTGAGCAATTCCAATAATAATCGTGATGTCTCCAGAATGACAAATCTCAGAGAAATCTATGTACTCATTCATTCATTTAATAAATACTGTGTCACACCTACATGTGCCAAAACTTTGAGTTGTTGAGGATTCAATGAGAAAATGATAAAACTCCTTGTCCGTGTAGACTTTTCACTCTAGTGGTCTCTCAGGGATGGGCTGCTTTAGAGATCCCATTTGGGTCCCATGCTCTAGGTCCCCAGACAGGCTCCTTGAAGTGCCAGATGACAGGCATTTGAGTCACTCAGCATGTCCTTGATATCATCCCCCTGACATCATATACCCTTGAAGGTTGTGGGGCTGCCCAGTCTTATTTTTTTCGTTCCTTCATATCAAAGAGGATAGAGCTGCAATTTCCCCTTCTTAGCAGATACCGACTGTCTTATCTTGTAGGACTGGAAGAGGCTGGCTCCTTTACCTCCTGTCTTTGGAGCCTTTTCTTTCTCAAAGTCCCAAATACACGTTGTTGGGTTAAGAAGGAGGGAGCGTGCACCCTCATTTCAGACAGAGTTTCAGCTGGGGCCTCGGCATTGCTAAATGAACCCAAAGGGCAGGTCCAGTCTATTCAATTTCTAAAAGTTACCCCCATCACAGGATCACGTGACACAGACATAGAATAAAGGGCAGGATAATGTTAAGACCCAGAAATGCTGCGCACAACTATGCCTTGTTTGAGATTTGCAAGGAAAAGGAAAACTTGTGGGGCATTTAGCGGAGCAAGCCCTTTTCCAACACCCAGGACAACTTACTTCTGCAGGTTTTCTTATCTGGATTCAGGGTAAAGCCTTTTAGGCAGCGGCAGGAATAGGAATCATCTGTGTTAACACACTCGTGCTGACATCCATGACTACGTGAGGCACAGTAGTCTATCTCTGGAAAGAAAGAAAAAAACATATTAATAGCGAACAAAGCAATAAATCTAGCATAGGGAAACTGAAGGATATTCATCTTAACTTTCCCTAAACAAACAAAATCCTGTGACCTCAAACACTAATACCACAAAGAGATACAAAGAGATCTTTCTATGAAGCCATTTCAATGTTTAGGGATAGGGCATCTTGGAAGAGAATTTTCTTGACATGTTACAAAATATTTACACAACAAAACAATTTATGAAGATGCTGTCCTTGTTTTGGTTCATGTACAAGCCCCTAAAATGAAAGAGTGGGACTGGTGTCGTTTTGCTATGTTATAGGCTGAGGAAGGAGAGTTCGGTGAACGTTTCATGGAATTTATGCAATTGAAACAATGACATCTTCCCATAGCAAACTCCAAACCACTTAATTGCTCAAACACAGAGCCAACAAATAGGATACAAAACCACATCCTGGGAAAAAAGAAGGCTCCATCCATATTCTAGGCGTGAAAGGCATAGATACTCTGGATGCAAAACACTTCCCTTCTTACAGCTGCACCTAGACAGGGTCATTCATCTCCAGGTTTCATAATCAGAGAATGTGACTTCTAGGTGCACATTAATTTAAATCAAAGTATTCAGAGAAAAGTTTACATGGAATTTTTTATTATGGGGTTTTACTTATATAAGTATTTTTTAGATGTGGGAAGAGACCATTCTATTACATTTAAGTTGTGATCAAAGCATTTTGCTATAGTGGAACCTGGATGCATTGCTTGAAATTGCTTGAAATAAGTGGCCACTGGCAGGGTCTTAAAAGAAGTCTTTTTGATCTGATGAGGATTTTTATTGTTTTATGGAACATGTGAACTAGGTATATCATTTTCATATGAAGAATGTGGTATAAATGAGTTTTTCAAGCCCGTACTAAAGTCAACAAAGTAAAAGAAAGGCATAGAATGTTCTTTATTTTTAAAATTCTCACTCGAGGATATGTTTATTGATTTTTAGAGAGGGAGGAAGTAGGGGAGGGGAGAGAAATATTGATGTGAGAGAGAAACATCTATTGGTTGCCTCCTGTACAGGCCCCAACTGGGGATTGAACCTGCAACCTAGGTATGTGCCCTGACCAAAAACCACAACCTTTTGGTGTACGGGATGATTCTCCAATCAACTGAGCCATCCAGCCAGAGCTTTAAAGGAAAAACGTTGAGAGGATGCCAATTCTTCCTAACTTAAAGTCATAGAAATTTTAAACACATACAAAATGGATAGAATTGTATAATGAATCCATATACATATCACTCAGCTTCAAGAAAATCAATCTATGGCTGACCTGGTTTCATCTATACTCCCATCGCCACATTAAGATTTTATAGCACTTTGAAGCAAACCCCAGATGTATTATAGTTTTGTCCATAAATATTTCATAATGTCCTTAAAAAACTGGAACTCTTAAAAATATAGGTAAGATACCATAATCAGGTATAAAGGTATTTTAAAACCTTTATATTTGAAAACTATTTCAAACTTACAGAAAGTCACAAACATAAAAACACAAGTATGTGAATATAAGAAACACCTATATAGAAAGTCACCAACATAAAAATACAAGTATGTGAATACAAGAAATACCCATATTCATCTACTGTTAACATTTCACCCCATTTTCTTTATCATTTGCTCATCTCTCTGAACTATTTGAGGGTAAGTTACATACATTATGGTCCTTTTCCCTTAAATACAGTGTGTGCTTTCCAAGAAGAAGGATATTCTCTTAAATAACCACATATAGCTATATACTTCATAAATTCACATTGACACAATACTTTTATTTAATCTACTGTATATATTCTAGTCTTGTCAGTTGATCTAATGTTTTTTATAGCAATTTTCATCCTCTAGTACAGGATCCAATAGTATAGGGTCAGAGATTATATTTAGTTTTCATATATGCCTTGCCTTCTCTAATCTACAATCATGCTGTCTAGTGAGGCCATTTAAATTAAAAGGGAGGGAGGTGGGAGTGGGAGGGGCAGGGGAAAGTGGTGGCAGGAAAATGGAGACACATGGATTTGAACAATAAAAAAATAAATTAAAATGGGTTAAAATTAAATAAAATAAAAACTCAGTTCCTTACTTGTACTCGCCATATGTCAAGTGCTCAAAATAGTCACAGTCTTGACTGTTGCATTGTGCATATAAAGAACATCCATCATCACAGAGTGTTCTGTTCAATAGCAATAGTCTAGAACATTCCCAAAGCCTCTCTTTGGGTTTCATGACATTAACGTTTTAGTAATACAGTCACCCCTACATGCTTTTTGTTTTATGGAGGTTCAATTGACAGAAAACAGACTGTACTTATTTAAGATGAACAATTTGATGAGTTTGGACATATGTACGCTCCCATGAAATCACCTCCACAACCAAGATAACAAATTTAGGTATTACTCTCAAAAGTTTCCTTCTGTCCCTTTCTAAATCATTCTTCCACATTCCCTCTGGCCCCAAATGACTATTCATTTTCTGTCGAGATAAATTAGTTTGTGTTTTCTAGAATTTATAAAAATTGAATCATATAGGATGTATGGTCTGCTTCTTTTATTCATCATTATTTTGAGATTCATGCCTGCTTATGTATATGTCAAAAGTTTGTCCCTTTTTATTGTGGAGTAGTATTTCATTGTATGGATATACCACAATTTGTTTATCCATTCACCTGCTGGTAGGATTTGAGTTGTTTCCAGTTCGGGGCTATCACAAATAAAGCAGCTAGGAACATTCATGTATGAGTCTTTGAGTAGACATATGCTTTCATATAAAAAAAAGTATTATTAAGATTTATTTCACCTTTTCTTTTTACTTTATTTTTTAATTTATTTATTTTTAGAGAGAGAGGAAGGGAGGGAGAAGGAGAGAGAGATAAACATCAATGTATGGTTGCCTCTTGAACACCCCCTTACTGGGGACCTGGCCCACAACCCAAGCATGAGCCCTGACTGGGAATCGAACCAGTGACCCTTTGGTCCTCAGGCTGTCACTCAATCCACTGAGCCACAGCAGCCAGGGCTGCTCTAATTTTTCTTGAGTAAACATCTAGGAGTAGAATGGCTGGTCGTCGGGCAGATGTATGCTTAAATTCTGAAAGGTTCCAATAAGCAGTTCATGACAGCTCCAGTTGTACCATGTTTTCACCAACACTTGGTCATTTTAGCCATCCTGGTGGTGTATAGTGCTTATCTTATTGTGGTTTTATTTTCCATTTCCCTAATGACTAAGGCTGTTAAATATGTTTTCATTTGCTTATTTGCTATCTCTGTATCTTCTTTGGTGAAGTGTCTGCTCAGATCTTTTGCCTGCTTTTATTGGGTTGTTTGTCTACTTAATAAATTTTAAGAGTTCTTTATATATTCTAAGTATAAATCCTTTGCTGGATATAGCTTGCAAATATTCTTCCTTTTAATTTGAGTCATAGTATTTTTTTAAGAACAAAAGTTTTAATTTTCATGAAGTTTAGTTCATTTGTTTTATATTTTTTATAGTTTGTGTTTTTTGTGTCTTATTTAAGACATCTTTTTCAAACCCAGAGTCACCAAGATATTCTCCTATGGTTTTTTCTGGAATTCTTATAGTTTTTACTCTCACATTTAAGTTTAAAATCCATTTCAAGTTAATTTTTGTATGTTGTGTGAGGTAAGGGTCAAGTTACTTTATTTTTTTATGGCAATCCAATTGTGGCAGCACTATTTATTGAGGATATTACCCTTTCCCTCTTGAATTGCCTTGGCACCTTGGTTGAAAATCACTTCACCATATATGTGTGGCTCTATTCCTGGGCTCTGTTCTGTTCCATTGATCTATGTGTCCATCTTTATACCAATAATACAGTGTCTTGACTACTGTTGCTTTATCATTAGTCTTAAAAATCAAGCAGCTTAAGCGTTCTAACTTTGCTTATGTTTTTCAAAATTTATTTGACTATTTTAGTTCTTTGCACTTCCACATATATTTGGGAATCAGCTTGTCAATTTCTAAAACAGCATGCTAGGGTTATGGGAAATATTGCTTTGATCTATAGACTAATTTCAGTGTGCAAGTCTTTCACATCTCATCAAATTTATCACTAGGTATTACATATTTTTGATGTTATTATAATTAGTATTTTTAATTTTAGTTTTTTATTTGCCAGTGAACATTTATAAAAATAGTTGATTTTTGTACATTGACCTTGTACCCTGCAACCTTGCTAAATTCACTTAATAGTTCTAGTAGCTTTTTTGTATATTCCATTGGATTTTCTCCATAGACAATCATGTTTTCTGTTAATAAAGATGGTTTTAATTATTCCTTTCCAATCTTGATTTCATTTCTTTCTTTTTATTTCTTGCCTATTAGAATGACTAGAACCTCTAGTATAATACTAAACAGAAGTGGTGAGAGTGGGTATCCTGTTTTGTTCCTGATCTTGTAAGGAAAGCATTCTGTTTCATTATTAAGTATCATGTTAACTGATGTTTTTTTTCATTGATGTGCTTTACTATTCTACTTTGCTAAGAAGTCTTTTTTTTAGTTATAAATGGATGCAGATCCTGTCCAATGTTCTTTCTTTATCTGTTTTGATAGACTGATCATATGGTTTCTGTTCCTTAGTATGTTAATATTGTGCATTATATTGATCAAGTGTTCAATGTTAAACCAACTTTGAATTCCTGGGATAAATATACTTGGTCATGATGTATTATTCACTTTTTATATTGTGGGATGTGATTACTAAAATACTTAAATAACTTTTCTATGTATTTCATGGGGGATATTTATGTGCAGTTTTCTTTTATGTTGTTTTCTGGTTTTGGTATTATGATAATGCTGGCCTCATAGAATAAGCTGAGAAATGTTCCCCCATCTTCAATTTTTGGAAGAAGTTGTGTGAAAAACTGGCATTAGTTCTTGCTCAAATGTTTGATAGAACTTACCAGTTAAACCAACTAGGCCTGGAGTTTTCTTTGTGGGAAG